AGATAAAAAAATAAATAAGTATATTCATATTTATAATAATATATTTATTTTTATATATATATATTTTTTTTTGACTGATCAGCCCAACTGTTCTCTTCATTTATTCTCTACTGTCAATCATCAATCCACAATAATATATTTTAATATTTTGGGTGTATTAAAACGTTTGAAAACTATGCAAATATCAGAAAATTCTTTTCTTTTTTTTTTTGTATTTACTTCAACCCGGGAAAGAATTCAAAAAATAATTTATTAGTGTTACAAAACTAATATCTTTCTAAAATCCAATCCGTGGATCCTAATTTGATATGCCGGGCTTGTAATCATGGATTCAGTCCTTGGCCTGAGTACGTACGAGCATATGCTATGTCACCCGACGATCCAATTCTTGATTAAATTTATATTCATTTACAACATTACAATCATTTCTTCCCAGATGATTCTACGGAAAATTCTGTCCTTCCCTAATTTTGGCACATCGCCATTTAAAATGCGTCTCCAAGAACGAAGCAAAAACAAAATAAACAATATGTTACGGTTTCGTTGTTCTTATTCGTCAGTGATGTTTCAAGTAAACAGATTTACATCTGGAATAAATAAAAAATAGTTCGACAAACTTTTATCTAAACTATATTCGATTATCGCTGCCTCTTACGTAAAAATAAAATTCCGGACGTGAGCAAACTGTAAATAAAACTCGTACTGACTGACCCCTAATGATTAAGTAAATAGTTAAAAGTGGCGGGAAAAATTAAAATTAATAAATTAAAAGTTAAATTTTATCCCAAGTATTTTCTTCTTCCATTCCATCTTTCCCTATGTATTTGTCTTAATATATTTACTGTATTTGCCTGTATATATATATATATATATATATATATATATATATATATATATATATATATATATATATATATATATATATATATATATCCGTATTTCTTGTCTTTTATTAGGAAAATAAATTTAAAAGTTGTACTTCTTCAATGAACTATACGGTTATAGTTAAAATTTTGGTACTGATGAAAAGATTCTTATGTTGATTTTAGATTTTTATAATAATAGAGATTTCTAAATTTGAAAATACTTTTCTTAATTAATGTCATTGTGGGTTCCTCCCGTTTTCTCGCCCCATTGCATTATAAAATATTTTCTTAAAGAAGTATAAATAAAAGAGAAAAATCGGATGTCACTTTTTTAATTGCACTATTAGTTTCAATGAATTCAGATTGAAAAGCTTGCATTCCTAGAATACGAAATAATAAATTCAGTATCTAAAAGCTTATGTTTTTTTTTTCTCATTCTGGTTCCCTGAAAAGATTCAGCTTTTCATTATTAATCGATTGATACCAATTACTCATTTAAAAGACAAAATAATAATACCTATTTATTTCCCCTTCAATTTATTATGGTTGTTAAAGGTCATAACTATTATGTAGTAGCAAATATTTGTACAATATGTGATATGATTTGCGACGTTTAATCACTTTAGGGTAGTTAATTAGAAAGAAAAACACTTGAATTGTTGGAGTATGTATTTATTTTTTTCGCAAATTCGAATAATTGGAGTATAGGGACTAACGCGGTTCGTATTACCTTAGATTGTACCGTATTTATTATTGTTATTACTATTATAAAACATTTTTATGGAAAAATGTTACTAATCCATCATTCTTAAAGCCATTTGGCATACAATATTTATATTTGATTAAAAACAAAAAATGACTGATGTTTTTAAATTCATAATAATCATCGTGGCTTCATAAATTATTCAGTATTGTTTTTATAATTCTTTTAATTAATGTAATTAACGATTGAATAAAAATTATGTACCTAACTAGATTTTCTCAATTAGCTATGCCTAAACATGATTTTGCATTTAATTTAGTTAGGAATTATTCTCATAATAACTTTTTTGGCATTTAATTTTTGAGATTGATGGATTATTTTCTTTATTAGAACATTAGCAATATTTTATAATAAAATCTATATAATATATTCCATATCATAATGGGGTATTACAAATGTCATATTTAACATTTATGAAAAATCATTTATTCAATATTTAATAAGGTAAAAATTAATATTTAAAAAATATTTAGAGGGTTCAATTTCAAGTTTAAATGCAGTGATGACAGGTCTTAAACAATAAAATGTTTTAATTTTTTTAAAATACTTTGATAGAAAGTTTACCAATTACATCTTAGGTATATGTCCAACTGCATAGCAACACAGAAAATAAATCAAACAAATTAATAATATCATTATTTGGAATAATAAAAAAATATTTTAAAAAGGTAGTAAAAAACAACAACAAATTAAATGAATAAAACTTACAATAAAGTCAACCAAAGAATCATAAATTCTTATTTTATTTTCTTTTCTTTATGTCTAAAGTTAATTTTCTCAAAGAAAGTTCGCCATTTATTTTTCAAATTCAGTAAAAATAATATTATTTTTTTATATTTTGTTTATATGCTGCTTGTATTTTGTTACGTAAGACACATGCTATTATTTATATTTTTAACCAAGCTTTTTCGAGATTTTTTTTTTTTAGTAATAATCAATTTGGGATGCAATCTTTATATATTTTTTTAATATTTATCTTATCTATATGAATGTGCCCCTAGGGGCCGAGACCTCTGTTATCTTTACACAGAAAGGTCTTCTAACTTTCCATTGACTCCGGGCTTATCAGATGGGAACTATTTTTGAAATGTGCTTTAGATGTCTTCTATTCCTTCCCTCTCCCCCTCCCCCGATTCAGTTGAAAATCTAAAAACTATCTCTATAGTCAAGATCTTTTAAGTCAAAAATCGTTAAGAACAATGGAATTTCCATCAATAATAGAAGTAAATATTTTACTGATAACAACATATTTTAAAAATATATAAATTACTTTAGTTTTAGTTTTAATTGTATAATTTGTTGTTCAAATCATTTATAATTTTCCTATCATGTTTCTGTTTTATAAAAAACAAAAAAAGTATTCTGCAATAATTCAGCAATTAAAAACAGTTTTGCTAGTTATTGCCATTAAAAATAGTTGTTTGCCATGAAATTTTTATTAACTTTAAATACCATAGTATAGTAATGTTTTCATTTAATAATATAAACATAGTTTTGGGTTTGCAAATTAATATTCATCACTGATTTTAATTTTATATTTTTCTTTCTATCTTTATTTTGTTTTGATTTTAAGTTTAATAAATTATTGGTATTGAGCAGTAATTTATATGAAAAGAGAAGTTTACAGATAAAAACCATTATGTATGATCATTGAAAAAAAAAAACTAAATAAGTTTCTTTCCTTTAAAAACTTTTAAAGAATTTTAAAAGTGCGACTTGCTATCTTTTGAAACTAGATACCGATTCATACGTTTTATTTATTTATTCTTTATACATATTCAGATAAAATATTGCAGTGATTAACAATTTTAATTTAATAATATCTCGTGAATGCAAATAAATGATTCTTTCAACTAAGAAAAATATTTTTTAACAATAAATAAAAAACTATTATAACAGTAAAAACAGTTATAACTGATCTATTGTTATCTTCATTGCAAATGCAAATTATACATTGTTAAATTATCTAATTTCATGTTAAAATATGAAATTCAAACAGATGTTAAAAACATGTTAAATATTAATATACTCCAAGTATTATGTTATAATTAATAGTTGCATAATTAAGAACATCATGCTATCTAATACCAATGTATTTTGGTTTATTTTATATTTCCTGAAAATGTGTATCTGGTCTTTAGTTCCTGATCTTCGCTACCAAGTTTTCATTTAGTTTCTCTTACCAGCATAGAGTTTCTCTTTCATTAACAATGATGGACCTGAATAGAATATAGAACCATCACTGGTTACCAAAGAAACCTTATTAATATTATTGTGGTGTTTGAATCTTTGCAATATGATGGCCTGTGGCTATATTATGTTCTTGAAAATCATTTTAAGTTTTTATTAAACTCTGTAATAATTTGAGTATTTATTTGTAAACATCATAGCTTAGTTATTTCTAGTCAATTATTTTAAAAGATAGACAATAGATCTTGACTTTGTTAACAATTCTAATATTAATATGAATGAGTAAAAAACTCACCAAGAGAAAGCCAATCAACATCAGGTTATAATTGGAAAATTTCAAACCATGCAGTCTTATGTCTCCAAAATGCAGATAAGAATAAAAAAAAAACTGTCAATGTTTTGCCAATTTAGGCATCATTAGGATAGAAAAAATGAAAAATCGAAGATCATATGACTTCATGACATCCAACCGCATACTGCCATTATTGTGTATTTGTACATTATATAAGAATTGTAATGTTTGATGTTTTTATAAGTTTGTAAATTTATGTGAGACAATGATATTATTCATGAAAACTGTTACACATTATAGATTTATCATTAAAATAATGAAGTCCTTAGAAACGTATCTCACATTATAACTCATCGTCTTCTACTACAGTAGTTGGTTAATTTAAGATGTTCAGCTTAATTAAATTTTAAAAAAACTTAAAATCTGTTAAGTAATCTGTCCTTTTATGATTAATATGAAGTTAAAAATTAAGTTTAGTATGATCTCTAGCAGTTGTTCCTCATAATTATCTGATAATCATTTGTATGTTGGTGTCTAATATAATACAGTCTATGTTATCAAGGTTTAGACTCAATGTATTAATTTTGAAAATTTTCTGGGTGACAGAGTATTTTGATGTGTAGGTCTAGAGCTCACAAATAGATATTCATCTCATTATTTCTACTACATCCACTTAGGCCCATCTAAAATATATGTTTCAATTTTCCTGTTGAATCCTGAAATGTTTGTGGTACTCTCTTCAGCAAATTATCTATCACCCTTAGACAATGTTATCTCAGTAATACGAACCAAATCATTTATATTTTTACTATAATCAATAATGTTTAATTATTATGTAAATTAATTGTTATTGTTTAATTTATAATTATTTTTTCTTTTTTAATTACAGTCTCAAGTGAGACCGGCGCCGTTCAGTGATGAGCCAGATGCAGCTATTGAGCGAGATCATTGCGATTATACGCAAAGAGTAACCTACAAAATGGCTAAAACTGGAAGATGTAAGTACATATCTTCTTTATATGAATATTCTTATATTAAAATGATAGTTTCAACCTGCCACCTGCAGAATTACTCAATGAAAAAAAATATATATAAAATAAATAATAAGTAACAGGAAATAATAGTTATTCTACTTTATTACATAACTTATTTGAAGTGTAATTGTTTGTAGAATACTTTAGATAAGAGATCTTTGGGTTGTCCTGACCTAACATTTAGTTTAGTCATTCTTGGCAATCCAGTTGTAGAGAGGGAGAATGATTGCCTTATTTTATTTATTTTCTGTTCTCTCTGGTTTATTTGTTTGTGATATAATTTTCATGGTGTATGACATAATTTAGAAATGGATACTCATATTCTAGGCGGTCGCAAGATACGAGTATACGCAGATGGTATTTACGACCTGTTTCATCAAGGCCATGCTAGACAGCTGATGCAAGCCAAAAACATCTTTCCTAATGTACATTTAATTGTTGGTGGTAAGTTGATTTATTTATATGCATTTAATTAATATTTTTTATTGTTTACCGACTAGTTATTATATTCTAAAAGAATAAAGACAAACGCTTTCTCGAAGTTTTAACTCATTTATATTCTGAATTATAATGATATTGTTTTTAATTGATGAATGAAAACTATGTAATATTAGTTGACCTGTGCCAATAATTGGCATAGTCGATTGATCATTGAACAAAAAGGAAGGAAATAAAATAATGCTACGTAACATAGGATGAAGGAATCATTACTTACTTTCTTGGTAATTCAAATTGACCCAAGGAAAAGAGAATAATTTTAAAATTTCATTCATGTTTTAAACCAAAATGTTTACAAATTACGATGAGTATGTGTGTCCCTAAATTCCTGTTTGCTTTCCTATGTATTGTTGGAGTCATCCTGTAGTTATCCCACTTTTTGTGATTTTACAAAAGAATTGACTTCTATTCATTATAGTTAACAATAAAAAGGGTTCATTTAGATGTAAATAAGTAAAATAGTTTATTTCAAACAATTTATGTACTGTATAGTGGATGCAATTGAAAAAAAATCTACCATATTTGTCACCACTGAAAAATGCATACTAATATTATTAATAATAATATCAAAAGAAGAGAAGATTGGTTGGAGTGTCAAGTAAAAAAAAAAAAAAAAGTAAAATTAAATAAATTATATTTATTTTTATTTTTTCTGAAGTTTCGGCCCGAAGTTCAAGCCTTTATCATGGCTAAGAAGAAACTAGATAACAATAGATATGAGAAACTATTAACATTAAAAATAAAATAACAATATGTAGGTGAAAGGTACAGTCTAAAAAATGTAGGTAGAATAAACTTAAAGCAAAATAAAGTAGGTAGAATAAACTTAAAGGAAATATAAAATAATGATAACAAAGTTAGCAGATAGAAAGCAACGGGAGCAATGTTAGGATGTATAACATTTTAGGAAAAAAGTTGCGAAATTAGGAATAAAATAATAACAGTGACAGAGAACTATGAAATAAATAATAACGGGAACAAAGTATAGAGACTAATGAAATAGGGTAACACATAAGAAATGAAAAATGTTATGTTACCTTATTTCATTAGTCCCTACTTTGTTACCATTATTATTTATTTCATTGTTCTCTGTTACTGTTATTATTTTATTCATAATTTTGTAACTTTTTTTCCTTGCAGTTATGTTATATAGGAAAAAAAGTTACAAAATTATGAATAAATTAATAACAGTAACAGAGAACTATGGAATAAATAATAATGGTAACAAAGTAGGGACTAATGAAATAAGGTAACATAACATTTTTCATTTATGTTACCTTATTTTTTTATTACCTTATTTTTTTTTTCCTAACAGTTATGTTATATATAAATACCACAACGTTAATGAAAGCCGGTAAAGAACTAGGACTCGAAATAAACGTGGCTAAAACAAAATATATGGTTAGCTGCAAAAATGGCGATACTACTGGTGATATCGATATAGATGGTAATATGTTTGAACAGGTAGATAAATTTAGGTATCTAGGTTCTACGATAACTAGAAAAAACGAAATTGAAGAAGAAATTAAGGTTAGACTGAAGGCGGGAAATGCTTGCTATTTTTCTGTGACAAAACTACTCAGTTCGCGCCTCTTGTCCCGGAACTTAAAAATTAGAATCTATAAAACAATTATCTTGCCTACAGTTCTTTATGGGTGCGAAACTTGGCGCTTACATTAAGGGACGAGCAGCGTCTTAAGGTTTTTGAAAATAAAGTATTGCGTAGAATATTCGGACCGAAGAAGGATGAGTTAACCGGAGAGTTCAGACGGTTACACAACGCCGAATTGTGTGAGCTGTATCCGGGTAATATAATTGAGGTAATTTCATCGTGGCGAATCAAATGGGCTTGTAAAGTTGTTGGGCTTACTAATGAGAGAATTCCTAAAAGGTTAATATTTGCTGTGCCGAATGGTAAGCGTCTGAGGGGTAGACTGAAGCGAAGGTGGGAAGATTGCATTAAAGCCGTTCTGAAGGGACTGGGTTTGGACGGCGAACGATGGAGGGAGGTGTGCAATAAGCGATTGGTGGTGTCGGCATCAAACCTTCGGGTTCGCTAAGCCTTTTATTATTATTATGTTATATATCCTAACATTGCTCCCGTTACTTTCTATCCCTAACTTTGTTGTCGTTATTTTATATTTCCTTTAAGTTTATTCTACCTACTTTATTTTCCTTCAAGTTTATTCTGTCTACATTATTTTTCTGTAAGTTTATTCTACCTACATTTTCTGGACCATACCTTTCACCTACATATTATTATTTTCCTTTTAATGTTAATTGTTTCTCATACCTATTGCTATCTAGTTTTTTCTTAGCCCTGATGAAGGCTCGCAAACCGTCAGCAAAAATAAAAATTGATATAATTTATTTAATTTTACATCTTTTTTTTTCTGAATACCCCAACCTGACAGTCAACCATCGATCCACAATAATATTAATAACTCTATGATAGTGGTCCTTAATTATGAATGGAATTACGTGTTACTTTGAGTTTATCACATTTTAGTTTTTCTAATTGTATAGACACAAGTTTAGAAATGTTATCATCTTTTCAGTCTGCAATGATGAACTGACACATTCTATGAAGGGCAGAACTGTTATGACAGAGGAAGAGCGATATGAAGCCGTGAGACATTGTCGCTATGTCGATGAAGTTGTCCGTGACGCTCCATGGCAGACAGATGACGAGTTCCTAAACAAGCACAAGGTAAGCAGTAAAAAGTATAGCTTCACTAATTATCTTATAAATACTTATGCTAATAAAATTAATTTTATGTGATGATCTTAATGATTTCAGATCGATTTTGTTGCCCACGATGAGATCCCTTATAATACTGGTGGCATTAGTGATGATGTATATGCTCACCTTAAGGAAAGGGGTATGTTTGCTGCCACTGAAAGAACTGAGGGAGTTTCCACCTCCGACCTCGTGGCCAGGATAGTCAGGGATTACGACATTTACGTCAGGAGGAACTTGGCTAGGGGATACAGCGCTAAGGAACTTAATGTTTCCTTCCTTAATGTAAGAAATATCTTTATTTAATTGTGATTTTTTAAATTTTTTTGCTTCCTTACTACCGAAGATTTGTATGTTTATACGAATGCATGTATTTTATCAAATCCTTTACACTACTTCCAAAAAAATACTTCCACTTTCGGATCAGGAAATGTATTATTTGACATGCCTGTAGTTTGAAAACGGCTTGTTTGATTTTGGAGTCCAAACTTGGAGGAAATTTGGAGAATAGTATAGAAATCACCTAGTATCAATTTCATTGAATTCAATTTAATAATTAAAATTAATATAAATAATTTTTAACAAAACAATGGCTGTGAAATGTGGAAGGCATTGATCATATGGAGTGGGAGTTTGGTTAATACAATATTTTTATGGGGGTTATAAAATTTTAACTTTTATTCTAAAAGTTAATTTATACTGTATTGGTTGGTCAATTCCAAACATTACTGGCTTGACACTTATTCCCGTTACTTAGATTTTGAGTAACTTTCAGTAAATTTAAATTATGGATGATAAATATTCAGGACGCAGTCTTTTTTAAAATTTTTTATTTTTGCCAACGTTTCAACCCAAACATGTGGATCATCTTTAGGGTGTGGTTTGAGCACTGAGGTTGTTCAAGTACTCCAAACAACCTCAGTCACTTCAGAGTACTTGAACAATCTCAGTGCTCAAACCACGCCCTGAAGATGACCCACATGTTTGGGTTGAAACATTGGCAAAAATAAAAAAATTTAAAAAAGACTGCATCCTGAATATTTATCACCCATGATATGTAGAACAGTCGACTAACTTCATGAATCATCATCAAATATGCTGTCTGCAAATACAGAAAGAACTCTTTTACATTTTATTATTCATTGATGAACAAAACTCGTGGATATCTACAAACCCATATATGTTGAAGAATTATTGAATTTCCCTTTTCCCTGAAAACGGTTTCTCCCAGAGATTTTATTCTCATACGAACAATTTTAGACCTTGTAATATAGATATTTTTTTAGCCAGTGAAATGGTGCTATACTGACCTTACTTGGCACACATTTTTTATTTAGTTAACCACTCCCCTAAGAACTCAATATGAAATTTTCTCCAATGAAAAACCAAAATCCTTGGATAACCGAATCATCTAAAATGATTAACTTGCTTTCATTTCAAAATAAGCTTTATGAATTATTTATAAAAATGATTATTTATTTTTATTTATGTATTTTCCCTACTATGTTAATCTGTCGATTTTGAAAATTGTATTATTTTTTTTTTCAAATTTGGTATTGTTAGAACAATATAGTATAATAATATAATTAATTATTTATAGAAAATTGTGCATTGGTCTAATTGTCTAATAACAATGTTTATTCATTCCTTGAATGATTAACTGCTCTAAACATTTTTTTGATAATTTAATAAGAAAATACAGAATATAATTTAAACTAGGAATAAAAGTATGAACTCTTTAGTTTTGAATTACTTTCGGTGTATTAAGAATGTAATGTAAAGTAATATAGTTGGAGGTGTTATAATTTGCGAAATTCCAAGGCATCTATACTTCTTAGTTTCCAGAAAGTATATTACAAGAAAAACATTCTATTTTCTATTATTAGGCAACTCATTTATCATTAACTATGGAATCATTACTTTAAATAAAAATATATTATAGTTATAACTCTTGGCAAAAAGGACCAGTAAGTCCACTTACCAGATTCATTCCAGTAGCAGTACATACGTACTACATACATTTAATTAGAAAATGTTTCATGTAATTATAAATTTATCATTTTTTAAAACAACATTTCGTCAGTTTTACAATCCTGTTTATTAGCACTTAAATAGGTTTCATCTCAAGGATTGTTTGGCATTGATGACCTTAGATTAGCGTTTATCAGTCATTTGTCTTAAAACTCCCCTTTTATAATCATATTTTTCAAATTCACTCGTGATGGAGCAGGCCAGAGAGTATTCTTCTCCAGATTTAGACCATTGGCGGTATTGTATTTTTCAATATAGGCCTATCTACACTCCAGACAATGAAGTAAAAATACTAATATTTTTCTAACTAAATAATTACAGTGATGAAATATATATATTATAGTTCCTAATAAAATGCATTGTGATATATTTACTATGAAGTGAACATAATATTCGTTTCTTAAACTGTTTAAAGATATTCCTGAATTTCATAGTTTACATAAAGATAACATTCATGCTATATGTCAAAGTATTCCTACTACACTTTCTGTATGATAGGTTCATAAACTGAATGTTTCATATTTTTTCTGTATAAAATTTACTTTGTAGATAATATATATGTTTTTATAATAGTTTTTTTTTTTTATCTCTTCATTAGGAAAAGAAATTCAGGCTTCAAAATAAGATGGAAGAATTGAAGGATAAGAGTAAACGAGTCATGGAAAATTTTGGGGAAAAACGGTTTGACATGCTCCAGAAATGGGAAGAAAAATCTCGAGATTTCATTGATGCTTTTCTTCTTCTGTTTGGCAGAGATGGAAGACTTGTAAGTTTTAAAACTATTTTCTTTTTAAAATAAAAAAGCAGTAATACAATTATTGAACATGTACTGACAACCTTCAAATACCTAAAGTATAAGTAGCCGATTGATATAGTTTCTGTATTGCTGTTTAGGCTTTATTTAAATTAATCTGATTTTTCCATTCAAATAGTACTTCATTTTCAAACTTCCCTACTCTCTCATCCCATTCTACAATTTAATTATTTCAGTTTTCTTAGATTTCCCGTGAGATTGGTGAATAATGTAATTTATTGTACCTAAATAATCAGGTACTATGGGTATTATTTTTGTAATATGATTTCGTTGTAGTAAAAATCTTGCTAGAATTGAAGACGATTCCTCATTAATTGTTGTTACCTAATTTTCACAAATCAGAAATTTTCTAATCTATTCTTTAGTTTCTGGTATAAAATTTTAAAAATAAATGGACTGCATAATAATAAAAATAATTAAAAAAATACAAAAACCAAACCATGATGAATTTCGGTAATTCCTCCTCATTTCAAATAAAGAAAAATTTCAAACTCACCTCTGATGGACAAACATGAGGGCACTTCGTGGAATGTAATCTTCTCTAGACCTGCATTGATCCGATAATGATATGACTTCTATGATTTTTTTTCTTGCTTGTATTTACTAATGTTTATTATAATGATGTAGAGATGGTTGACCGTTGATATAATATGAGAAGGAGTTGATCGGGGGGTGCGGTCAAATTAATACTAAATTAAATAAGTAGAATTATTTAATTATTATTTAAAATTCAGTATGTATTTAAATAATTCTACTTATTTAATTTAGTATTAATTTGACCGCACCCACTGATCAACTCCTTCTCATAATGTTTATTATACTTGTGTCACATGATTCAATCTTTACTTTATGGATAACGGATAACAGGACAGAACTTTATTAATAACAGAGTGATATATTAACAACAGTCTTCATTTAAAATTGATGGTATTTGAAGACCTATTAATATATTCAGAATTATACTGAAGTGTGCTTTATTCTGAAGTCCTTGTGTCTCTTTTAGTATTTAATGTATCTTGTTTAGTTATTAGGATATCAAAATACGATTATCAAAGAGAGCTTGTGTCTCTTTCCAGATTATGTTAACATATTAGTTTTAAAGTAAATAATAATAATTTTTAATGTTATTACAGTCTCACATATGGAGTGAGAGTAAGGGGCGGTTGATGCAGGCTCTGTCACCACCATCGAGCCCGCCTAGGGACGGAAGCCCATCTGACAGTGAAGGAAGAGCGAGGTAAATAGTTTTAATATCAATATTTAATATAAGTACCTACAGAGAAACTTCTATATATTGAACATAGAGATTCATTTGAAAAAATATATATATATATATATATATATATATATATATATATATATATATATATAGAAAGACTATAATTGTTCATCCTTGTTGGGTATTTCATTTTATTACAGCTTGATTGATTCTATCAACATTTGTAGATTAAATTTGTTTCTATTCTAGTCTAATCCTTTCAAATAGTTCAATCAATAACTGGATCATGGTTTTTGTAAATTGTCATAATTCATATTTTTTTTTTCTCATCTTACTTTTTATGCATTTTACTAAGTTAACTCTTCTTAAATGGAAGACAAAGGTAAACTGAATTTAAAATGAAAATTTCACTCTATATTAGGAATGAAATTCTAAGAATCTCACTCACATGTTTGCGATATCATTATTTTTAATCAATCTTTCTTAAATTTGATGTCTGATTTCTTATTCTTTTCTTTCTTAATAAATTTTTACATTTTTTAATTGGTTTTTTATTATTTATTTATCGAAATTGTAATTTATTTATATTTTTTTTCAAACAAAAATTGAGGATTTAAAAAAAAAATCAGTATATAGAGGTTTCAGTGTATATTTTTCATTTACTGTTGTTTCCACTGAGTGGAATGTAATAGAAAATAACTACTCATATGATTTGACTGGGAAAATAGGACCTTTCAATATGACTTTCAGGAAAGTGTATTGTTTAAAATGAATGCTTTATTTTAATGTACCGAGGTTTTGATAATTGTTTAGTTAAGTTAAGGTCTCTGCATGGATATAAAAGTTTTTTTTTTTTTTTGTAAAGCTTGGTAATTTTTTCAGAATCAGTAGGGTGTCAATCAGATTTTAAATATTTCAGAAATTATTTTTTATAATGCTGAAAATAAGAATAAATTGGTGCTTTTGTAGTTTTTTTCACCATTTTTGTCAAAAAAAAAAAAAATCATTGATTTAATTTAGTTTTATACCAAATCCTTATTTTAGAAGCTAACAATTACATTATGTTTTCTTTTTTTGGAAGGGATAGAAATTTACATTCATAAAAGTTATTTTAAATTTATACAATACACTTTTACACAGTTATGTGTTTTTGTTTTATTGTTTACATATAAAAACGACTTACCGATGGGTGGTAAAATCCAAATTTGAACTGGAGTAGATTTGTCATCTACCAATTAATTGACAATCCGCTTTTAAATTTATTGATGACAACCAATATAAGTATATTACAAAGAATTTTTTTAACTATATAAACATTAATAAATTTTTGGATGATTGACACTCTACTGAACATATTTTTTTTCAGATTTTGGCCTTACAATGGTAAGTGAGAACTTCACTATTGTGTACAAGAAAGACAAAATAAAAAATGAAAATTGGTTATGAAATGAAATTTGTCTGTATACAATTCTGACTTACGGGTATATAGGAACTTGTCTTAATCATCAAATCAAAGAGAACAAAATGGTGAATAATATTACTGGTGATGTGTATATATAGTGGATCCTTGTTATACTGCAAGCCTAGGTTTGGTAATAATTCAAATATATATTACAATATATTATGTAACGCCTTGTACCAAATGCAATTCAGGTTCTAAAAATCCTATCAAATAATTCAAACAAAACTTTTAAGTGCTCAATAATGCCAAATTTCATTGTTGAAGTAGAAGGGACTGGTGTTATCCTTAATACTTTGACAAAGCCTTGTTGTTTGTTTCTTTTGGTTTTACGAACTTCACATAAGCTGAAGAAGCAAGCAAGGGTATCCTAAAAGTTGGTTGACAATCTGTTATAACCAGAGTGAGAAGGTTAAAAATTAAACCTATAATTGAGTGGGTTGTAAAATGAAAATCAAGTTTCTGAAGTTGTATTTGAAGTAGTGCTGATTCTGATTCAAGAACCCTTTGGTACTGTTTTAACATACTTTGCGTTATTTATGTTCAGGGCCATTTCAAATTAATAAAAGGAATTTTTCTTAAAAATGTAATTTTTTATTTTCTAAAATAATATTGTCAGTTAATAATTTTTAGTCATCTTACTTTAATCACTTGACATTGTGATGTATTATCTATCATTTATTAATAACTGTTATTAGTAAAAAATTTTAATGCTTATGATATAAAAATGATATTGGTAATCTTTTAACCATGGTTGGTCATGTTTCTTGACAAATAGGTTTTTTGGATATAACACTTAAGAATACCTTGTGGACAGACAAAAATGTTCATGGATAAAATTAATTATTGATTTCAATTTTATTTTTTTCATATTTACACAGTTTATACAGCTGACATCCCAACACATCCTAACACTGTTATTACCATGTATGCCGATGATACATGTGTCCTATCCGCTAATAATGACCCAATCATTGCATTCCATACTCTTCAATCGCACATCACAAGCCTTGAAGAATGGTGTCAAAACTGGAGGATTAAAATAAATTCTAATGAATCCCATCAAATCAGCTTTACCCTTCGACGTAAACCTATGACCTCATGTCCCACAGTATCCTTTAATAATACCCCACTTATCCCTGTTGAACAAATCCGATACTTTGGACTTCACTTGGACAAACGTCTAACTTGGAATCCTCATACCAGACTGAAACTACAAGAAACCGCTAGACATTTCCGACTACTCCAGCACTTACTAGACAAACGCTCTAAGCTTCCAGTTAATTACAAAAGACTTATATACATGACTACAATAAGACCTATTTGGACTTATGGAGTTGAGCTTTGGGGCTCCACTAAGCCATCGAATTCCTCTCGTATCCAATCCTTACAATCCAAAATCCTTCGGAAAATCCTCAATGCTCCTTACTTTGTCACCAATAAAATAATCCATAATGACCTTAATGTTCCTTATGTTTCCGATTTGGCCCAATCCAGATACCAATCCTTCCATAATAAACTTCAGAACCATCCGAATCCTCTCGTCTCTAACCTTGCTTCCTCTTCTATTCCTGATAACCCTCCGAGGCGTCTGAAAAGAAGATGGCCTCGAGATCTCTTTTGTAAATACATTTTGTTTTTAGAGTGCTACCAGTGGGTAGTTTCTCAACAAGTCATTTCCTGTTATTATTTCTGTTATCAAATTTACTTAATGTATTTAATTTTTTAATACAGTTGTAAGTATCATGAATAAACAAGAAAAAAAAAAAAATTTTCATATAAAGTATATTGTGTTTATTTGGGGCTTGACATACTTATTTATTTTTTCTTCAACTCGTGCAAGTAGAGTATAGACATTTACTCCGTGGATCTGTTACAAATTAAACTTGAGCTTCTGACTCAAATGGTATAGCAGGCAAAGCCTTAACACTCTCAGCTTGTTAAAGTATAGTTTCTTATTACTCATTAATACAACTATCAACAATTTTAAAAATTTGGTGTTACTTGTTATAATTTTCATATATATATTAAATAGGAGGCATATAAATCCTTCCTCATTTTGCTCTTTTATTTTTCTTCATTATAGGCTCTTCCATGAAACAAGAAAAGGATATTGCATAAAGTATTATCAACTCAATAAAATGTAATTGAAATAGAAGAAGGAATTCCTAAAAATAGGATTTGGTTGCATTTGTGAAGTCTTTGTTTTCTTAATTTTAAATTGCCGAGTAGGAAAAACATACACATTTTTATTAAAATGTCTTTTAGGACAGTTTGTTTTTCTCAAATATTGTATACTTTTCTACTCTGGCATTTTGGGAAAGTTTTAATATTCTTACGAGCTTGCACTAAATTGAGGTTCCACTATATTATCGCTGTATTGAGACTATTTTAAGAGAATAGTATCAAATTTAGCCTACTATAGTTATTAGATGTTTTAATGTGCGGGGGTTAAATATATATAATTCTGTTTTACTTGTAATAATAATAAGTTATCTAATTTTTATAGGTACTAATTATTCGTAGATATAAATAAAATAAAACTCATCTATGATTACCTGAACTTTAAGTTAACTGTAATAATATAATGGATTCAATTATTTGATTACAGCCCACCTCCATGCAAGGCTGGCCGATTTGATGGAGACTTGACCGAGGACGAGGAGGACATAGCCCACTCTATTTCCAACTGAGGGTGTTGTGAATGCTGTCTTGTTTCTTCTTGATGTCATTATCCTTTTTGTAGCAAATTATATTTAATTGAAGAAGAAGAAAGTAATTTGTTTTGTCCCCGCCCTATCTCTCTTTGCCTTGCTGTGCTACTGGTAAGTGTATCTTTGAGTTTGTGGATAAAGGTACCTGCTCAGCACACCTGAACGCGTAAAGAAAAAAAATCTGTTATCGATTATATAGAAGTTATATTTATACATATATATATTTATATTGTATATTTATTAAACCTACTTTTCTTGAATATTTATTTTTATAAATATGCTTACTAAAGGCAAGGGGTTAAGATTGTATTTTTAAGTTATTTATAAACTATTTATTGAAATTATGCTAATTTTATTTAGAGGTTTTTATTAAGACATCATGAGTATTGATTACTATTAGTTTATTGTTATTTCGATTTTTTAAAAATTAGGATATTTCGAATTAGTATTATTATTAAAAATAATTAATTTAACAACTTGTTTTCCTATACTTTAATGTTTTTGCATATTGCAAATTTCTACCAAAGGCGAGAGAGAGAATTTTAGTTAATATCGAATAAATGTTTTATGTGATAATTTTCACCGATGGTTTTAGAAAACTATGGATTAATATAAAAAATATATATATGATGTTTAACTTGAGATCATACCATATTTTGTCGATTGTTAGGTTAGTAGTTGTTAAAGATATAGTCAGCTTGCAACTACGTGAGCTAGTGCTAAATAATATAAATGTTAGCTCAAATCTAAGAGAAAAAAAAGATAAAATTATCCAATAGAGTTAGACAAAACAACGTCCACTTAACACGTGTTGATGTCATTTACGATTAAGGACCGACAGACTGCCGTTTTGGTATGTTACTTTTTGAAAGCAATAACGTCATCTTCGGGGATAATTATTTTTTACTATGATTTTATAAGCATTTTAGTTACATTGTATATTTTGTTTTTAGTAATATGTTTACATTGTCTTATAATAATTTCTATGTATATGCCAGTGTTAGATGTGTTTAAGCAGATTATACTGTGATCTAGTTTCCTATTATTTTTTATTAGCAAATCAAAGACCTGATGTATTTTTTTAATTTTGAAGTCCAGATTGTAATAAATTATAGGTCGCTTTAAAAAATACATTGCTTTAGCTATGTCAATAGTTCGAATTCACTCTATGCAGTCCCTTACTCAGCTTCCTTGTTATTTTAGCCAAAAACATAACAAAACAAAAACAGTGGATCTATGTATATTTCCGTTATTTTTCGGAAGTATACTAGCATTAAGTTAAGATCTGGTATAATTGTTATTTTCTATTTATAAGATATGTTTTAATTAAATTAAATGTGCACTTTTGTGACTTGTGTGATGTATCGATGGTGCATTTTTTTCAAATTGTATGTATATATTTTTGTAGAAAGTCAAGTAGTCGCACTTTTTGTATTCGGTTATATTTTATTAATTGCTAAATCGTTATTATTTTTTTAAAAATTAAATCAATTAATGATTTAATGAAATTAAAATGATCTTTAGTGATCATTTCAACACCAAAGCAAAAAAAAAAAAAAAAAAAAGATGAAGAGGAAATTATAACAAACAATTAAATAGTTTTTTATATATTTTCTTGGACGACAAACATTATTAAATAATTTAATCTCTTTTGTCAAAATATTGTGCACAATGGATTCTTGTAGTTTACATTTATACCACATTCGTAAATCAAAATAAAGTATATGTTAACTATGAAATATTTTTTTAAGTACCCTGATTTTACCTTTCTCGTCAGTTCTCAAGAGCATGATAGAGCTAAAAGAAAAATATAAGTTTAGTCCTTTGAAAGTATACAAGAAAGTTTCTATCAAGCCTGGCAGAGCTGGGCCTGTAATTATCACCCTCATAAAGCGTAATGAAAATACATTTTTAACATTTATGTCAATTAGATTCTAAAGAAAGAAATCTTCGCTGCTATTGTTTCTTTGGTACAGTATAAGGAAATTAAATGAAAATTGTGAGTATACAGCATTCTTTAATGTGATAACTTTTGGATAAAATCTTAATTTTCAATACAATAATAGCCCAGTCAATTTTATATAAATAAGGTAGTTTATGTTACTAAAAATACAGTAGTTTTTTTGGGAGGGGAGGGGAAGTACTGGAACTGAATCTGGAATTATTTAACAAAATTTCTTATTGCATTTTGAGATGTATAGATAACATAATAGATTTTTGTACTTTCCTTGTTTGTTAGTAATTTCAAAAGCATGTGTGATATGGAAAAAATCGTTCAGATATATTTTGAAGATTAAAATTTTCCACAATTTTAAATTATTCACCTCTGTAGAGTTAAAGAGCTACTGCAGGAGCTCAAATTTAGTATATATATATATATATATATATATTTTTTTTTTTTTTTTGCGGCATGAGTACACTGCGGCCATGTAGGCCTATTGTACGCAAGTGTGTACCTATTGTTCGGAAGTGTGTGCCAGGTGATGGCACAACTTAACATTGATAAGTATATTTTGGAAAAGATAAGAATATCATATATCATTTGTGATAACAATATCACAATAATGTTCAGTGATCAACTTTATCCAGGATGGACAGTTCTTTGAGAATAATAACTTGGCTTCCGTAAAAAATAATGGGTTAATGGACCCTTTACAAATCAAACATTGGTATTAAATTTTCCAGTTTTCATTTATTCAAAAACCTTTAAAACTTAGCTAAAAAATCTACAAAAGCTATCTTCATTCTTTCTCTATTAGGTTAAAACTTTAAACTAAAAAGCTTTAATAAAAACTGGATAACTTTGCTCGCGTCCATACATTGTACACGTGCCCTCCGGTTATAACTAAATGAGCAATATTGTCGCCGGGAAGACAGTTCAACAACATAGAATCCACAAAAATATGAATCCATCAAGATTAAGGAAAACAAAAGGCCCAGTCAACACACAGCTTAAGGCTATGTTCAGGAACGCTGGTGGCCTAACTGCTGACAAATTCACAGAATGGAAGACGATTATTACAAAGGAGGATGCTGATTTATATGGGATCGTAGAAGCCGGCTCATCCACTGAAAATATCCAGTTCTACCAATTACCGGGATATCAAACTTATAAACTGCAGAGATCCAGGCAGGTTGCATCAGGAATAATTGTCGCTGCTAAATCATCCCTCAAGGTAACCTTTTCAATTAAAAAGAAGATGGAAGAGAATGATAAATTGGAGTCTGTACAGTTAGATGTATGGAAAAGGATTCATGGCGGAGTTGTATTGGGCTGCTAGGAGCCGAATGACCTAATAGCCAACAGCACAGGCGTTTAATAAAAAAATAAAAAAACAATCTTTCTCTTTTAAATTTAAACATTAATATTTTTCCAAAAATGAATAGAAACTCAAATTTTAATTTAAATAAAATCTAAAACTGATAAGATAACTGTTGTAGGCATATACTAATATCTTACTTCCTTGCTGTAATATATTAAGTTATGTGAAGTTTTTAATTCATTGATAGTGTTAACAACAAATTGTCTATTGTAAAATAAAATAAATAAACTGTTTTGCTAGGGTAAAAAATTACCACCTCTATTTGAATGGGATTAAAGAATTAAAATTGTGTAATTTAAATGATTTTAATATCAGGGTTTAGGGGTCGGTATAGCAGAGTGGTTATAGCTCTATATTATTTTCCAGTATTGCTGTTCCCCGCAGGAAGTTAGACCATACTCCCTTAATTATGGTAAAGCTTATAATTATGGTAAGCTTTCAAGTCAAAAATGTACTTTTAAAAACATTCTACCAAAAAAAACATATATCAGTGTTTGATTTGTTAAGGGTCTTTTAATTCATTGTATTCCATCAATAACTTACTATTGATTAAAGAGTTTCCATTTATAATCGTTCGGTTTCAAATAACAATCTTATTCTTCTGAAATAGACTAAATTTGTCTCAGAAACCATTGAATTGCGGCAAATTTAACCTACTTTAAAAATGATAAGAATAATTTTTTATAAACATAGGACTTTACAAATTAAAAGGAAAAACAAAGTTTTTTTTTTTTTTGCGATTATTTCAAAACAATCAGAGTTTTGTCAGATAACTTCAAATCCATTTTCAAAACATGATGTAAATTAGGAAAAAAATTGATAAAATGGACCTTAAAAAAGTTGAGATATAAATATCTAAATATCAATAAAAAATATTGATATTTTGTGTCTCAATGTGTTTTATCTTTAAAAGAAGGGGAAGGACAATTAATTAAGATTTGTCAAGAAAAAAAAATTATAACTAGGAACAAATCCATATTGCCACAGGTTTCCCTGCATAAAATTGTATAATTTAAAAGGGGTGTTATAGTTTTTAGGTTATTGAATCCAATGTCTTAGCAGTATTTAATTTCTCAAAAAAATATTGTTTTTAATAGTCAAATTTTTATATTGATACGAGTACCTTATACGAGACTAAAATAATTATTATATGTTTTTTTTTATTATATCCACATTTTCCAACATTCCTATTAAGACCTCCCAAAATATGGAATGGTGATAAAAGCAATTATTGGTTTCGTTTTTTCAGATTAATTACCAATTAAATACACTATATTCAGTCTTGTCACATCTCTATTAAGAACTCCCAAAACATGAAATGACAATAAAAGCAATTTTGTTTTTCCACAACATTAACTAAACTACATTTTTCACATTAACTGTCAATTAAATAGACTATAATCAGTCTTGATAACAATAATTTTTGCACATTTAGAAAATCAGTCTGAACATAACTTGATTTTCTGTTACAGTCGAGTTTTTTATTAATTTAGCTTGAAAATCTGGAAACATAATTCCTTTTTCTATTAAAGGTTGTTGTGCATGGATTTTATAACATTATTTTGTCACATTTCCAACAATAAAGTTAATAAACAACTCTACAAATAAATTTACATATCCAATTCCATTTTCTCCAAAGATAGAAAGAACTAACTTGAGATACTCAGTAAATGAAAATTTGAGTTTTTGATGCTGGCAAACTAATGGGTTTTATTATCTCAAAATATTTTAGCCTAGACATTTCAGCAGTTACATTATTCCATTTTAAGAAAAGGTTAAAGCAAGCAAAGAATGCTGCAAATGGAAACCTGCATTTGTCATGAACAACTTAAATATGGATCAAAAATGAAAAATAAATGCACCTATAATAAATGTGAATAATTCTCCATTCATTTTACATTTTTAAAATTAAATGAATGAAAAATATTTGACTTGGAAATATAATAAATTTGCTCCATTCATCGAATAATCTAAACAAATAAAATATGAGAATGAACGTTACAATCAATTATGAACTACTCTTGTTTAGTTCACAAGGTTTTATTTACATTTGATTATAAAACTCTCAAAACAAAACAAAATTTACAAATAAGCTATAAATCATCGTAAACACAATCTGTATAAACGATAAGACATTGAACAGCACACATATGAAAAATAATAGAATGACTCAGATTATCAGAAAGAATTTTTTTAATTTACTAATAACTATTACTATATTATCAAAATAATTTACATACCATAAATAATATCACTGATCACTTTATACTAATGCACAATTTTAGATTGTATGGTAGAGCCACAACCTTAACCTTTGTACAAGCAATGGTCCCCACTATCTTGTTAGTAAAGAACAAATTAAACAGAGAAAATATATTATATTTTATATCAATATTAAATATTTTTATGATTTTCCTGAATAATGAAATTAAAAAAGAGAAATATAATGAATCATGCTCTAAATAAAATCAACATGTATCAATAGAAGATAATAATAGTTACATAACAAAACATATTTGTAGCCCATAAGATAAAAAATGCATGGAATTCACCAACAAATATTAACGCAATATTTAACTTCTAAAGAAAATTAAATAACATCAATAAACAAAGAAAAACTATTTCTTTGATTTATTGTTTATGAATTATAGATTGAATAATAAGTTTAGAAAGTGTGAATTTTTTACATTTCTGTAACTTAAATTATTTTTAGTCTATAAAGTTTTCAAGGGCTTTGTAAAATTAAATCGGTAATAAATATAAATCCCTCATTTCATATAAGCAATAAATTGCTTCCTTTTAGTTTTCTTCATATTAATATTAAACTACACAGTAATGTAAAGAAATCATCCAAATGGCTTATTATAACCAAACAAATAAAAATTATTACTTTGAAATGTGCTGCTGCAATTTTTGATGCAATGGCCAGAACATTATTGTTCAACAATAAGACAACATTTTATTTTACATATATATATTTTAAATCGTAAGCCTTAAATTAACATAAAAAACCTTGGAAGAAGAACTAGCACAAAAGATATATTTTAATAAGATGGTATATTTGTGAGTGTAAATATATCTCTACTTTAGAATAATGCAGCAGAACCAAAAAAATGAGAGATTTTCCACTTTTAATCACCATCAGCAAATGTTGAAAACCAATTTATTTTTGAGCAGTGTTGGCCTTCTTACAAGGAAATAATCAATATTATTTTTTCATATATTTTTTATTTCAATAGAATGTATTTGGTACTAATTTAATTTTTTTAAGTTCAATGGATTTAATTTTTAAAAAATATGAAAAAATCAATCATAATAACAAACAGCAAGTAATCTTGTGGAAGGAACTCAGCGAGTTGAACCAGCCATTGCAATCACAATCATAGGTATATTATAAAAGAAAAAGAAAAAGTTTATTTTAAGCTTCATTAATGTGTTTGATCTTACATAATTAATTTTTAAGTAGAAAACAAGAAAAAGAAGACATTTAACTAATATACTCAAGAACTTAACATTATTGATTAAAAAATGCTTTATGTACTAAATCATTTCTTTTTTTAATTGGAAAATAATTTTGTTGATGCAAAAAAATTCATTCATACATTCTTCTTATTATGTCTATACATTAGTATATATAAGAATGTTATATATGTATATAACAAGCCTAACGGCAATAACTTAAGGTTAAAAAAAAATCTTCAACATAGTCTTGTATATATTGAATATCCTGAAATAATTTTAAAAAACAAAGAGGAGACAAAATGTGATGCTTACCTTAATCAAATAATGGATCTACATATGAATTGAATCAGACTTTGATTTTTTTTCTATACAATTTTGATTTTTTTAAAAAGATATTTTGATTCCCATTATATATTGCTTATCTAAGACAGGTTGTACTTAAAGTATTATATGCATACTGTTTATAAGATAATCTTTCCCACTGTTCACAAGGATTACAATTTTTTTTTTGTAATAAATTTCATTGAAAAGCCTTCTGCGTGAAAGACTATTGGCACCTTACAGAAGAAACCTCTTTTGAAAGCATACAATATGATATCGATATAAAGATAAAATGGTGTATCTGTAAATTTTCATATTATGAGGTTTGTGGTTTTCTATTATTTTTTTTATTTAAACACCAATGAACAATTATATCAGCATGAGACTAAGGCAAACTGAATTTAACATGATATGACCAATTTAAATAAGAAAATCGGCAACTTTACATGAATCACCATAATTTCTGGAAATCCTAATGTCTGCAGTCTGAAACATTTTCAGACGTGCCATTTTGGCATAGAAAAGTACAAACCATTTTAAATTTTCGAATGATAATTTGCTAATGAGTATTTAAAATTTTGAAGTTATTTGATTCTTGATTTTAACCATTTGAACAGTGATGTTGAAACCATTTGCGCCATTATAACATTTTACCGCTTGAGATCATGTTCTCAATTGATAACTATAATCAATAGAAAATATGTTACAATCTCCTGAGGATTATTGCACAAGTGGAGCTGAGTTGACTAGACACCCCGATTCCTCAAATTTTTCACTTTGTAGATCCTGACAAGCCAATGCTCAGTAGTATACGCCTCCTCGAGGACTTCCAGCTCAAAGTCTTTATTGCCTATTTCTGCTCCTCGAACTCTGTCATAGCCTGGTGGCTTTCCTAAAACACCAGATCAATGAAGATATTAAGATGAAAAATGGAAGATCAAGAGTAATACAGAAATTACAGACATACTGAAAAATCATGATAAAGTAAATTATATAAAAGCAGATAGGCTGCAGAAGAAAATGAAGATGATGGATATGGTAATCATTTAGAAAAAGAGGCTACTGAAAGGACGAGCTTGTAGATGCTGCTAAGCTGGGAGTCATGAATTGGAGGTACAGACTTGTAGAGGCAGGGAGTAATTAAGTAAAATAATTAAACTATAAACATTGCTCTGGACAATATATATTCTTAAACTATTATTATTATTATGATTTATTGTAATTTTAGTACTACATATAATCCTTCAATTTTCATCAAAACTGTTCAACGAAAAAGAACAAGAGGTCGGATGGTAAATGGAAAATTAATTAAATAACAAATTTTTGAAATTATGAAACCCTAACAAGTATACTATAAGCATCACAAAAATAACTCTAATACGATACACATTTATAAACATAAATATAAGCCTTTCAGTTGACAGAAAGACTATTAATTTTAGTGATATTTCTGGTGGAAAAACGTACCTTTATTCACAGTAATTTCAATACTGCAATCACGTACTCAGGAATCAACTTACTCACCGTCTGTTCAGATATTATAAATTTTTCAACTAGAAATATTATTAAAATGACAACTCAAAAATGTTGAAATTGGAGTTAAGTCATTCTGTCAACTGAAAGGCTCATAAATAAGAAGATTTTAATTGAGAGGATGGGTGAGGTTTCCACATTGTTTTCTATTTCCATTTCCTGTCATTTTAGTAAAGACGAAAATATTATTACTAGCTCATTTTAAAGCTTTCTGTTAATTAATATTACATGAAATAATTATTAAAGAAAAACACCAAATAATTAATTATCAATAGAAGCTGTAAAATAAATATGAAAGAAATAAAGCAAAAAAAAATAATGCAATTTATAAAGATAACATTACCTCCTTCGGAATAAACCTGACCAAATCTATAATAACACATCTTGTACATGAGAGAGTTTAGTAGTGTTGGAGAGCCTTCCTTGTCCACCCTGAATTCTCCGCTGGGAGAATAGTAATCAGTTTCTTTTATATGAGCTCCTCTTTCGGTCGAGCCTCCAATACGCACCATCCACAGGAACTTGTTGATATCTAGAAAAATTAAAATTCAATTAGTGAATCTTCTGATGTAAATAATAATTATAACATAATAAATTTTTCTATATTATTATTCCAAAAAATGTAGTCATTACTTTCAAACAAATAATCTTTTTGTTTGAACTAATGTGAGACAGGCTACCATTCACAGAAAGTATGATAATCACTAAGTTTAATCAGCACACAGAAAACAAGAAGTTGTTAAATTAAATAATGTTATTAATTTATTTTTAAACTGTTTTCAAAGTAGTAATTACTATTTATCACAGTTAACGAATTTATTAATAATCCTAAATGATCCCATTCTTATGACAAAACTAAACAAAAAAACATTCACAATAGGGATACTAAATACATTAACAAAACAACAATTATAAAGTAATTGAATATATATATTTACCATCGGATGAATACCCAACAACACCACCAAATATGACTAAAACATAATCTACGTCTAGTTCTCTCATTATTGCATAAGCTTGCTCCTCATTCGATGCCATCGCTTGCCCGACTCTCGAAATGTGAGTGTTGTTCCAAGTATTATTATCAACCAGAATGGTTCTATTAGCCATAGCGGTGATCTGGTAGCCATAATCCCACCAAGACATTACTTTGGCATTCTAATAAAAAAAAAAAAGGATGCACATAAATTAACACAGAATCATAAAAAAAAAATAAAATATCATAAACTATCTGTTGTTAAATACACAGTACATAAACTCACCTCAGGGGTGTTCATTCTCAGCCAGTAGTAAGCCTCTCTGAAATCATCAAAAATTATCTGAGATCCATCGTGAGTCCTCGCTGAGAGAACGATGCTTGGAGAACTGTAAGCTTCAGAGGTAACCCAGGTGCAGTGGAAAGTGTACGTCATTAGTAGAAATGTCATTAGGCCCACAAAAACAGTAGCGATCTGTCAGAATAGGTTGATAGTATTTTAAAATTCAAATATATATCCTTTAATAGTAGTGTTGTAAAAACAAGCCTCGAGTCGTGAAGATTAGAGCTTTAAACCTAAACGGTTCTAGAGCCTTTAAACCACGAACCTCTAGCTTGAAGACTCATAAGAGTTCTAGCCTTAATGAATTTAGTGGTTGTTACTTGGTTTAAATTTTTTTTAAGGGGAAGATTAACCCCCCTCTGAATTTTTTTTTAAAGATAAAATGGCAATATGTTTGGGTAGGTGGGTGATACTTTTTTTTTTGGGGGGGGGGAGAAGGGAGGAGGTAACCCCTCCCTCCGAATTTTTTTAAAGATAAAATGGTAATATTTTTTCAACGTTCAATTTTTTTTTTTTTGGTGAGGGTGAATTACCTACCTCTCCCCCTCTTTATTTCCTTCCTTCCTCCCTCTCCCCCGATTTTTTTAAAGAATGGTATGTTGACAATATATTTCCCCTAGCCAAACTTTTTTTTTTCCTTCTAATTTTTATTTGGGAGGGGGAAATTCAATAACAAGGGGAGAACAATAGGTGCAGAACAACAACAAACCGAACTTTGTTTCAGTTAAAACTATAATTCAAGGAACCGCCAAAAATGTAATACTTACTGACAAACAGACATACAGAATAGTTTACTCTATTATAAAAATTGTAAAACAATTTAAAAAATCCATTAACAAACATACGGTAAAAAAAAAGTAAGGTTAGAGCCGTGACTTGGCCGAGTCGGGAAAGCTCGAGTTTAATAGACTAATATTATAATAGATTTTTTAAAAATATAATTAATTAGGTTTTTCATTAAATATAATGAGTACTAAATTTATTCTAATCAAAGATATAGATAACAATGATACTGATAAATGTAATTATATTAAAATATTCTTATACCTCACTTTTCATAACAAAATTTGATTCCATTTTGCTCCTTTTCTTATCAACATTTTTTTCTGGGTCTATTTGCTTCATATATATTTGAAGCATAGAAGAAACGGCTATTCCAGACAAAATGCACATAACAGGTGCCAGTACAAGCATTAGACGGACCATCACGCCCTACAAAAATTACAAACAACTGAGGATTGATAACAGAAAAAAAAAATTATTAAAGCTTTTATATATTATATTCGTAATATAAAGTTCCATCAGTGATTTTTATCCAATCCTATGACTAGGTAGGGTTTGGCCATTCATCAACTAGATGCCCACAAGTGGATTAGAAGCATTACAATTATGTTCTTCTATTGACACAACTAACGCATAGAGCATCCTTAGGCTGCTCAACCACTTCTAAGGAGTAGTTGCTGACAATACATGTACGTTGAGGGTGCATGGGTTTCTTGCTTCTTAATGTCATTACTTTGGTCTTTTCCTCATTGATTCTGAGTCCCACACGCCATGCCTCTGCATCAAGCTTAATGAATTCACCTCTTATGCTAGCCAGGGATCTTCCAATGATCACCACATCATCATTTAAGTATATTTTTTAATAAAAACTTATTCTACACCAGTATGAAATTTAAATCCTTCAAATCAATAGGTTTTCATGATCTGAAACTACTTATTTGTCTTCATGAACTACGGGTTCACTAAGGGGAACTAGTCCGGAAAATAGTGATCCTTTTTGCCAAACCCCAAAAGCTACTACTGGTTACTATCATGTACTAAATAAATATTAACTGACCCAGGTGGGAATAAACTCACAACATTCAGAACTGAAAACTCTGGGACCCTCACACTTCAGGTTCTCGTCCATGAGACTAGGATGAAATATTTCAGAAAAGCTTATGACCAATATTTAGGATTAAACCATTGACCAAACGATCACTAACTGTTTTAAAAATAACTAATCATTCTAGGAATTAAAAATAATTTTTGATAAAAGATCATAAATGAGGTTGTGATGGCCGAGCATGTTGAGTATAAACTTTAACTTTCTCGAGTCTAGCAATGCTGGTTTGATCTGGCCAGGGAAGATTGAAGTTTATTTCATGGTAGACCCATGGAATGAGTCTCAATCTTTCCACTCTAAATAAAATAAGTTTCACGGTACTTTCAGAATAAGCATACCACAAATGGCGAGATGCGGAGTAATTGCAGAAAAACAGGGGTCAGTAAAAAAAATAGCTATAAGGTCAACGAATAACTCATAATAAAATAAATGAAACTTATTTCAAAAAATGTACTTTAATTCACATAAAGTAAATTTATTTAAATCACATTTTCTAGGTCTCACTAAACAGGATTTCATTGATAAAAAGATAACTTTGTTAGAACACAACTTCATCTTATTTAAACATTTTGTAATCTATAGCAAGCAATAACAATAGAGAAAGATACTTACTGCAAAGTAAATGCTTGTAACTCCATAAAGAATCAAAAATATGTTAGCATCAGTCAAATGCGCAAAACAAAAGTAAAGGCCAGCTGGAAATAAGAACACCAATATCTGCAAATCAAAATAAAAAGATGACCATGATGTCGGCTGATGCTCAGAAACTGAAGCAATGATTGGAATATGGTTCTTGGCATAAGACGGGTCCAACAGAGTGTAGAAACGCCCAGTCCAAGGAGCAATCTTGCCTGAAAATACATGACATATTAACCACACTATATTGTGACAAAATATTAGTAATAAAAATGATGAAATATAACAGATAGATATGAAACTCAGACACAGTAATTACATTTTTATTTTATAATCCAACCTATTCCTAAAAATACGAATTGAGGAAACACCCAATAGATAGAAGGAAATATTGCTAGAAGACTCCATCTAGAAATATAACATTGTCCATTTAGTGAGTGACTCTAAAGGGACAAATGTAAGGAAGTATTACCCCAGCCATCAAACATAAATAACTGCTACCTCCTAGGACTCATAGAAATTGAGGAATTTCCCAAACTGTGCAAACTTGGAAAAGATGCCAACACCTCTTGCCACAGTTATATTCTGGAGACCATTGAACATCTGTTCAAAACCTGTGCTGAATTCGAGATGCCTAAGAGTAAGAGACATACTTGCCAATAAAATTTAACTCAAGAACATTTTTCTAAGTTCATCAATGAAGACGATATGGCAAAACCTTCATGCACATGCAGCAGAAATGGAAAATACAGCCTATTACAGTAAAAAAATCCAAGGTAGGAACTTGCCATTGGAAATACTTCTGAAACATTGGCGGAAAGACATGAGTGAAGATCTGGTGGATTTTCTGCATATACAGATAAAGTTAAATTAAAAATAAAAGATACATTTTATATTAAAATTGTATTTCACATTGCTGAAAGGGGAATATAAAAATTCTAAGGGGCTCAAATATCAAACCAGGAATAGACAAATTGCTTTTGTCTAACAGACTGTGACAGTATAAGTAGGGGGAAGCTCTGATGGCTGAGTGCTAAGGCCTGTTATCTTTAACAACCTTGAGTGGCACTAGTTTGAATCTGGTCAGAAGGGTTAAAATTTATTTTAGGGATCAGAATAGATCTCAACCATCCCACTCTGGTTAGAATAGGCTAGGTACCAGTATATTATAAGTAATGTGAATAAGAAAAATTTCTATGAAAATTTTAAGACATTTTAAGTCAGTCAAAAATAATTATATTTGAGATACAAAGGCAATGTGGGATTTCAGTTACAAAGGTAAAACAGATATATTTTCAGACAATAATTACATCCGTAGGTATGATAGTCCATAATTTTAAAAATGTTCTGTATAATACAACCTTAAACAGAAGTACAATCTTTAATGAGTTTTAAAATATGAGTGACCTCATATCAAAGACGGACTGTCATTTTTAAAAAGTTGGGTAAAAGCAAATTTTTGTAACATAGTTTCAATTTAAGCCAATTCTAATGATTTTATTTTCATGATTAAACTTGAACATTCTTAAATAAAATCATCAGAAACAGTTCAAGTTGAACCCATAAAACAAAATTGACTTTTCCTCCACTTTCTGAAAATAACAGATCACATCTGTCTTTGATATTAGGCTAGTCGTATCATTAATTTTAATTTATTTATATTTCAAGTATAAAGACAATTAATAAAAGAAGAAACTTTTAAGCTAACCTGTAATAGTGAGGATTGTCCCAACGAGAACAGACAAAGCAGCAGTTGCAACTATCATGGATCTGAACAAAACATCAAAATCTGCAGGTGTGAGTTTAGATCTTAAGTAATCAACTAGACTATGCAACTGGCATAGACCAAAAACACCCAAAGCCTGGAATGTAAAGAATCTGGATATCATAGTTATTTTAGCAAGAGATACAGTATAAATTAAATACTGTGAATCATAAGCATGATCAATAGTAAAAAGAATAACATAAAATAATGATTATGATATATTGTTGGATGAAGATATAGAAATAAGTCATGTAGTTAAAGTATTAATTGAGACAGAGTACAGAGGCTTAAACTAAGTAATAATGTGTATAGAGCATGCAGTGTCAACAATTGTATCAATAGATGAAATCAGTCATAAAAAAGAAAGAAAAATTGGATACTGAATAATATGAATTAGATCTTACGGGCATAGTAATGCCAAGACAAAACTTTATACATAGAACAAACTTTTTTGACTGAAATTCGAACTAGATCACAATTCTTCCTTTTAAACTTCTAAATTGAATCAACATATATTATGTATAATATACAACAAATTTCCATTAAAATTAACTCTGAAATATTATAATTTATAAATGTTAAAGAATAATAAACATACCAACATATGCTCAGAGGACTGAACAGGTTGAAAACCGACAAATGAAATTTGCATTGACAACATAGTACCAATGCAATACAATATGGAGTAAGCAACATAAATTCTGTGCGAAAATCTTCCAGTTATCATTAATGTGAGAACGTGCATTGGTATAAGATTAATCAGAAAAACATAACCTCCCCAAGAAGATACCTAGAAAATAAAAACAACTGAATTAAAATCAATGATGAATAAATAACTAAAAGGACATAAAATGAGATGGACTTCACCATATAAAAGTAGGCGACAGCAGAAAAAGTAGCCCACAATATACTTCCAGTTTTCACGGATTTAATCCAAGTATAGTATGTCAACAACATACAAAATATAGCAATAGCTGGAAAAAGAAACAATCTTCAGCAATTGATTATAAAGTTCAATAATTATAAAATAAAATGCATATGAATATCAGCCAGAAGAGATAGAGACCTCCCAAAAATAGGACAGATCTTAATACCTAAAGCCAATAACTGAAAACTTAAATAATCTAATTGCATTCTCTTGCATGGTGTATTCTTTATGCCACAAATATTCTATATTGGAATTTATCAGAGTAAACTGAATATAAGTGCAAAATGTTCACATTTACAATAACCATAAGGATTTTTTTTTCGAACTTGTACTTTTTTTTAAAATCTCATAACTTCGGTTATCTGGTCGCCGGGCAACTAGTGGTGCTGTACACACGCATTAACCCATTCGGCCACCCCACCACCCACAAAATCATAAGGTCTATTTATTAATACTTTATCTTTATTATTTTTATTTTCAAATTAAACCGAGTGAGAGCTCTGACATTAGATATCTCTATCCTTCTCCCTAATACATTAAAAGAATAAACAATATTGGAGAACTCTGTTTATTCCTATAAATAATAAATTATCAAGAACAAGTATTATTCAACACAAGCAACTGGTGAATCAATAGTGATAAGTATCCCATGGCAACCATAGGTGTAAGAGAATATTACAAGAATTAGTCTAAGCCCGTGCGTTATCTCAAAAACAATACACTATTGGAATTTAAAATGAAGAGCAGAGTACAATCAAAAAGAAATTTACCAAGTCTTGATGTCCGATTCAAAATCTATTAAACACAATCCACCCTGTCGACTTAGCAGTATTTTTGAAGAAGAATTTAGAAGAATCCTATTAATTTTTTTTCAATAAATTTTATTTAAGCTGTACTTTGAATTTAAGGATTGACATCAGAATTCATCACTATTCCATGAAATTTGTTTGTCAAAATTCATCATTTGTGATAGTCGGAAAACAGATCAATACTACCATGAAATGTTTATAATTTTTAAATTATAAAAATAATATACAAAAAAATTATATACATGCAACTAATTACCAACCTTCATTATCATATGATCCAGCTACAGAACGGGAAATGTAGCCAGGCACAATAGCTATCATGGCAGCGGCAACAAGACCTGAACCTGAATCCTAAAATAGAACAACTATCAATATTAAATTGAATATGAAGTTTCATGGATAGCATTTATTAATATATATATATATATATATATATATATATATATATATATATATATATATATATATATATATATATATATATATATATATATATATTAAAATAACTAAACTGCAAAAATTATTTATGGTCGGATTTGATTTATTTGAGTTATCCTCAAACAATGTATTAACTTAGAACGAAGTTCCACATTCATTACATTATGAAATATGGTTAGAAAATTCTCTAAACACTATTAAAAATATTACTACTTTTTTATCTATTAATCAGATATCTAACTGAAATCTTTCGGTTTCCATAGGTTAAATTCATCTCAAGAAAATATGGACAATTTAGCAAAAAAGTGTATGTAAATCAGTCATGTAGTTTTGCAGTTAGCTAGGTGTTTTTTAGCTAGTTAGGTTTTAAACGAAAAGCAGGCTATTCTTTAATAAGATAGTATAGACCATGGGTGGAGAACCTTTTAACATTAGAGGACGCAGTAAGTTTAGGTAGAGCTAGTGGAGACCACAACTTTTGTTTTATATATTACTGTTGCTATTTTTATTTATCACGAAATACACACACCCACCCACATATATACATTCAACTTAATTCAATTAATTTTCGAATTTTTGTTACTTAAATAATTAAATATTAATTAATTCTAGCACTAGATTAATAAATATTGCATAAAAATGTATAGAGGACGCAACTACGTCACAGAGCCCACCTATGGTATAGACCAAGATAAATTAATATACTATATATGATATACTTACTTTTAATTCTTTTGTCAATAAATATGTAATGATTGTGGTAAGACTAGAAAAAAATGGTGCCAAAAACACACAGACATTCCTGATTTCAATAGTGATGTTAACAAACTGCAAAATATTATACAAAACTGCAGATGTCACCATTAAGCCAGGATAAATAGTACCTGTAAGACAAAAGTAAATAAATCACAACTAATAATAACAAAATAAAATATGAATTAAATTGCAACCTATCCGATCTAAAGATTTTTTGTTCATTACAAAGAGCCAACTCGCAAATTATCGCCAACCTCTCAACAGGTATAGAGAGATTAGCGATAATTTGTTTAATATATTATGTATTAAGCATCTCGCATCTAATTTATACAGTACAAGGCTCAGCTATATGTAGAAACAAGTTAAAAAATTCACATAATGTAAATTACATTTAATCTCTTACTATGATTATGATGAAGGGAAGGGGTGAAGACTACAATATGGGTTAAAACACTTTCGAATAAATAATAGTACACAATTGTATATTCCATTATGGACAACTATGAATACAGTTACAGGCTGATTAAAATTTATGGTGAACTATTTCGAGCGCTGATATTAAATATTCTTTGCTCATAAATTCCAACTAATCACTTTTACTCAGTTTTAAATTTAAAATTCTTCATACAGCCTTTTAAAATTCTTCATATATATTAATAATAGATCCACAATCTCGTACACTATATAGAAATGCATACAAAACTGAAATAACAAGAAACTGTATGTGTTTTTTTCAACTACTTCAATATTTAAAAGATGAACTAAATTTAAATTTATTTTAACACCAATATTTCATTTATAGGTATTCATCATTAATGGAAAACAATCATCTAAGAAAAATTAGACATGACCAAGAAAGTGTAAAAGTAAACAATTTTAAATTTAGATTATTAGAGTGCTACCATTGGGTAGCTATTCAGCAAGTGTATTCATGTCATTATATCAATTATGTCCAAATTTACTTGATGTATTTATGTAATACAGTTGTAAATGTCATAAAGAAATAAAAAAAAAAAAAAAATTAGATTAGAAGGAAATATCTATAATTATTCTTTTCAGCTCTAAAAACTTTCAGTTTTTTTGTTTTTTTTTTGTCCGGATGGAGGCCTAAAACTCAAAATAAAACATGGGCAAAGAAGTTTCTGTTCTTCAACACAATTCACATCCAATTTCTCTTTCACTACAGTCAACATAGCTCCAACTGTACAAGATGAATGCTCTTAACTCCCAACAAGTTTCAAAATGCTCATCTACATGACTATGGGCTTATAACTTCAGTTTTAAGTCACCCTAAACTTTTTTTTTCTGAGGTGTTTTTATCTCAGGAATGTTGTTAAGAAAGTTCATAGTTTTTCAGCAAGCTACTACCAAATAATAATAATCTGACATAAAGTCGTAAATTTCAATAGACAATTAAATTATTTGTAGCTCTTCATGCAAAACTTAATTTTTGAGTGGATTTTTAAGACTCTTGAGATACATAAAGATTTAATTTAGTGCTTAAAATAATGTAATATTATATACAAGATCAAAATATTAAATTTATAATATTTGTCCACAGATAAAATATTCAATCAAAGATCAAACACCCTTCAAACTAGGGAGGCTCTAGAACAGTTTAATGTCATCTAATTTAAGATAAAATCTTATACATATCTGCTATAATTATATTTAAATTTCTTGATTCTTTAATTTAAAAAAAGTTAATTAAATAATAATAACATAATTCAATCCAAGCGTAGTAAAATAACATTAATAATTGGTTTATTTTGATGTAAGAATAAAAACGGCAGAAAAAATATCTTCCATCTAAAGATATTTCAATTTATTTTAAAATACATATCAGCTATTGATAAAATATAAATTATTTATATTTATACTATTAACTTTAACATACACTATGAATCAAAATTTTTACTTGATCTCAAAAAAAAAAAAAAAAAAATAAATAAATGTGCCTTTTAATCTAGTCAGATTATGGCTTACATTCTATCCATAGAATTAAATAAAATATGATAGTTAATATAGGATAAGGATGTTAAAAATTATGATTATTATGTCAAGATATTCTTTTATCAAATTGTGATAATACTGATAAAATGAAAAATTACAATTCTTTATCTACATTCACATTGAGACATTTAGTTGCTATACCAAATTTATTTATCTATATGCTTCATACATTTCTTTTGATTACTTAAATTGAAGTAATTTTGACAACTGTAAATAATGAACAAAAACAGTTTTTTGATTAATATTTTATTTATTTGATAACTCATCAGCATCATATCTCCTAAACTTTTAATTGCTTCCATGATATCTACAGAAGTAAAATTAAGTAGTCATGTAGACAGATATTTTGAAAAAAGAATAAGAAGAATTATATAGATAAATTTTAAGACAGAATTAATAGGGAAAAAACTGATAAGACAATGAAACATCAAATTAAGAGATATTTTAAAAATAATATTAGAGAGAGAAAGAGAAGGCGCATTGATAATTAGAAAAGTTTTCATAAACCTAAGATTATTTTTGAAAAAACTGATAAGCAATTGGAATAAAACAAAAATTTTTAATTGTACTATAATTAATTCGGGTGTTACCAATTTAAATTATTTTAATTGTTGTTTTTTATCTGTAATGTACAGCTACTCTGATTCTCCTTAAACAAGAAAGTAATGGTCTCCAGTGAATGATGTCAAGAACTACCAGGAAGTAGGACTAATTAAAGAATTTAATTCTATAAATTATTTATTTGAAAGATTATTCTTTTTCATTAATACCAATACAAATTACTTACTTCTAAATTACTTCAGTATTATTTCCATTTGAAACCCATAGGCTCTTAGTAACTTCCTTAATATTTCCCCACTTTGACTATTGCTGTACAGTATATGGGGGTGTCTTTAGGAATCTCGAGGAGAAACTAAAACGTTTGATACATTGCTTTGTACGATTTATCTTTGGGATCTCAAGGGACGCCTCTGTTTCCCGTTATCCATGGCTTTACTCTTCCTACTGTCACAAGCATTTTCTGGCGTCTTTCCTCTTCCAAGTCATCCAATCCCGCCGTCCTTCATACATCTCCGAGCTTCTTCAATTCAAATCCTCTGTTCGTTTCCACAATACCTGTTCCTGGTCTTCGGATTCTAGGGACCACCGAACCGCTGCTTTCAACAGATTGTTCATTATCTCATCCTCATCCCTAAGGAACTCCATCTCTTCCTAAATCCACCATTCCAACACCCTCCCTACCTTTAAATCCTGCCTGTTCCATCATTTGTTATCTAATCAGTCCCCATAAAATTGTTAATAGATATCACTGTAAATATGTATATAAATTATTAGATTGTTATTAATTATTTTTACTTTATGTTTTTTTCTTAATTTAATTTTTCCTAAGTTAGAAAGCAACTTATACTTTTTTTATTATGGCTATTTATGTACTTTATGATTTTTTATGTATCTCTGAGGCACCATAGCCCAAATTTCTGTATTATTATTCTAAAGGGACTAGTCCCAGAATAAATAAAGTATATTTATTATTGCAATACATAAAGGGTTTTGGATTCCTCTAACATCAATCGTTTAACATCTTCAAATATTTTGTAGCGTCATGGGCCACAAAATCTGCACACCACATCAGCTTCGGTCTTGCAACTCTACGACTATATATGGACTCGATCATAAGGCTGCTGTCAGGTAGATCGTCTGACAGTCCAGCCCATCTGAGCCTTTCAAACTTGATGACACAGATGTCAGGCTCATGATCTAGGACGTACAGGTTCCGATTATTTCTCCTTCTCCATTCATATTCTCATACAGACCACCATAAATTCAGTTCAAATGTGAGAAGTTGGTTTTCAGCCCTAGTTGTGGTCCATGTCTCCGAGCCATAATATATTACAGAATGAATGAAAGTTCTACTTATGATAAGTGTTTTTTAAAATGAAAATTGTTTGAATATAATAAGTATTTGAAACATAAAAAAGATAAATATCCTATCATATCAAGTCATGAAAGTGTTAATTAATTAGAATAAATAAATTCTCAAATTCCATCAGTCTTTTTTGAGTCTTAATTTAAGCTATGAGAATATAAATTCATCTGAAAACAAAAATATATTATTTTAAAAAGAAAACGATCTCTAATATACATATCGGTAACATGCTAGATAAAAATTTTACAATATAGATGAATCAAAACGCTTTTATGATGAAAAAAATAAAATACCTCCAATAATTCTTCCTAATGGGTACCATGCTCGGTCATCAAACCAGTTATGAAATTTATAGAAACCTTCTTCTGCTAGGAAACGTGTAGTTCTATAGTTAAAGTAGGGATCAAATTCATGAATGACACTTTCAAATCTTAGAACAGAAAACAATCTTGTGGCAAATGCTAAAAATAAAAATAAATACAGACATTATCATTTAATTAAATGTTACAGACAAATTTTAAAACAGGATTTAAATAAATCATTAATGGATAGACACAGAAAGGCAAGTAACAATTATCAATGAAAAATAATTTGATATCAACTCAAGTGATAGAAAAAAGAAGTTGTGTCGCAAATATCATAAATAACATAGATAATTTGTGGTACAAAAGTCATTAAGTAAAAGGTAAATTTAAAAATAAAACTGAACAGGATATATAAAAAACACCACATTGAATGTTGAATTACAATTGAGAAATAAACAAATTTATAAGGAATCTCAGGTAAATGGAAGTGGTATCTCTAAAATCTTAATAGTATTGGCATCTATAATACAGGAAGTGTCCATAAAATAATATAACCCAAAAAAAAAATTGTTGAACCGAAAAACAGTGTACTTGACACTTACACAAAATTGCAGTAATTGATAGAATAGACAGTTTCAATAAAGTTTCTTGTTTTTCTGGGGACATACGAAGTCCTCTAGACTTGAGGAGTGCCATATTTGAAGGGATTTTAAAAAAATAAAACCAACAGGGTTCTTGACATTCAAAAAAATGATTAAATTCACAACTTCACGACTCTTGAGAGCCGGCACAAAACACAACTGTAGCGTGGCCAGCGAGCTGCCAACAGGGCTAGTTGTTCTTCACCAAAACATAAACAATCAAAATTGAGTTTATTACTTATGAATTCTTATTTGAGGTTCGATTTGAGCAGAATAATATCATAGTATCAGGATGAGGTAGTAATTTTGCTATTATTATTAGTCATAATTGTTGTTTGTGTAAATATTTTCTTTATGATTCATAACCTGTTTGTAGTTATCAAAATAGCTTTGGATGTGAGAGGTTACCAAGTGTTTTTAAACTCGTGCCTTATCTTGTCAATTGTAAATAGTGTAAGTTACAACGATTTTAATATTGTTGAGTGATTACAGACGTTTCTTTTATAGTCTAATATGGGCAGTTTTGTATTTGAAGGTGAAGAGCTTGTGATACCAGAGTGCAAATATGAATGTAGGTATACCTTAAACGTTCTCATGGCCCAACTACATATTATTTTTATACCGTTTTATTAAAACATTTTTTTAATTTCAGATTTGGATCACACAGCTGACGTTCAGTGAGTATATTTTAATTGAAACAACACCTCCTCTGGTCTTTGGTTGCTATTATAAACTTTTATTATATTCTACTGATGTATTATCACCAATTTTTGCCAATGTTTCGTAATTATTCTTTTCCATTGTAGTACATTTAGTATTGGAATATTAATCAATGCCCCCTGCAGGGGTATTACACAATTTTATTAATGTTTTTATGACCCATTAGTTGGTTAGTGTGATGTTAAAAATAGATTGAATATGAAGTTGTAATGTATGCCTAATTATGTTGGGATTGTCAGTAAAAAATGTTAGATGATTTAGCCAGTTTCATCCATACACCAACATTAATCAAGAAATAGCAGTCCTGGTCTCCAGTAAACCTCTAATTTCTCACCATTTTGTGTATGATATTCTGCTGTATAATGTATATAAATTTCACGTTTGTAAAACAGAATATGAAATTGAAGGCATTCTTTACTGATTTTAGATCAATTCATCACTCACTCCGCTTGCACTCCTGATAATTATAATATACAATTTTTTATATCATCCTGTTATCCTGAAAGTTGTTTTCTAAAATTATAGAGTAGAGGAACAACTTAAGATAAGGGTACTAGCTCCGTAATAATAACAACTAAGAAAATAAGAATAGGCTAGAAGGAAAGTTTCCAATTTTGACTGTTAAAATAATAAGTTTTTTTAATGAATGCTTCTTGCAAAATATGAAGTTACATGATTTACCAATTGTAAATTGTTAATTTTTTTTTTCATGTTTAAATTATCTGGTTAGCTACTGTTTTTATTAAAATAGTATTTATATGAATTTATCCAATGCATTTTAATTTAGCGTTTATAGTTAGAATAGGCTTCCTTTACTTTCATTAAAAAATGAACAATTTATCCCATTTTTCACTTTCATTCTTATTGACTCGTGTTTATATATAACAAGTTCCATCTTTGAATAAAATGTTTTCATTGTTAAAATTGAATCATGTAATTAATGAGTGTTTGATAATTCTGATTGAATTTCCTCCAGGGTACTTGTTAAATAGGGGGCTTGGCCTGACTGCTATCTGCCAATGTTTGTAACCTTAACACTGATAACTCTGATAAGCCACTTATAATATCTTTGTATTGATATTTGTTGTGTTATATTCATATTATTATATTTTCATATTCATATTTATTTTATTTTATTGATATTGTTGAAATTGTAATCAAAAATAAAATTTAATAATAAAAAAACACTTTTATTTTACAAGATATATATTAAATACACCAAAACATTATACATATATTATGAAAAACATTACAACATATATATAAAAATCAATGAAATAATAAAAATAATGCTTCCCAGTAATAAAAAAACTTGCTGTGAAATAATAAAAAAAATAATAGGTGTGGTGAAATAAGGGTGCTTCCCACTTGAACATTGTTTTTAATAGCTTCTAATAAAATTGTTGCTTTTCTGTCATTTATTTTTACGATAAAACACTCGTCTATTTCTCGGCAAACTCTGCCAAACATCCATTGCTCAGGTAGGACTCTCGTCTACTTCAACGACTTTGCCAGGCCCTCCAAATATTTTACTTGACCTGTATAACATGTTATGGGCACAAATCTCTCTTAAAAATTTGTTCCACGTTAGGATAGTTGGCTGGGATAGTTTCAACTGTTCTTTCCCCCACTGTATTGTTGTTAAATATGGGACCACCCATAAATGAATTTTAAAGCCGTTAAAGGAGAAATCCTCGATCCCTCTAACCACGTTCCTTTCCTTATAGAAACGCTTTTGTCACAAGTACGAAAGCATCTCCATTTCATCTTCCCGTCGAACTTCATTTCATGATCTTCATCACAATATTTCACCTTTGCAAATATCCTGGCGTCTTGAAAATATTCGATAGCCTCTTTTTCTAAAGACGGCAATTCCCACAATGTAACAACATCTATAATTAAATAAGACTAACTCATAGTTTACACAAGGAACAAAAAATTAACAATGGAATAACTTAGGTTAGAGGAGATAAGAAGACAGGTTATGTGTAATAAGATTAGATTAACGAGGGAGATTTCAACACTACCAGCTATTTAACAAGTACCTCCTCCAGTACTACAGGCTTTACGAATAATTTCCCTCTATCGATTTTATGGTGCTTCTTGCCAGTTCCTAATTCACAGTTGGTGAGCGTTGGTGTGTACCTCATTGCCCCATCAGCTACTTGGTCTTCCTTGTCTCGCACCTTCCTTTTTTGCTGCCATTGTCATCTATCGAAATCTACTGAGACATGTACTGCAATCAATATAACCAAAATATATTTATTTCCATTGTCTACATTTATCTTAAAGAGTAAATAATTGAATTGTACTTGTTTTTGATAGTAAAAGATGATGTGGACAGAAGATAAAAAAATGAACAACTTCGTAGGTACATTGTACATTGTTTTGATTATCAATTCATTACAAATGAAAACAATTATATATCATATTCTAAAAACAAAAACATTTTATTAGCATAGTGTCTTTAAAAAAATCTTAAACAATCGATACCTTACTTGACTTAACTTGAACAAATTCTGAGGAACTAGAAAATTTGTTATTAATGAAAATAGGTTCAATGAACAGATATTGTTTAAATGTATGAATGATCTCTTGAGTGATAAATAAATGTGTAAGAAGTATTGAATACTAATATACATTGATTTGTAGATGATCATTTGTATGCCAATCTGTAAATAATTATACAATTATTATTATTATTTGTCTTCTTTCAGGTTACACGCTTGGGGAGATACTTTAAAAGAAGCTTTTGAGCAATGTGCTGTTGCCATGTTTGGTTATATGACAGAATTGGAGTATGTTGAAGTTAAGGAAACACATATAATTGAATCGGAAGGAACCGATGATTTAATTTCATTGTTATATCACTTTTTAGATGAATTTTTATTTCTGTTTTCAGCTGAACCATATTTTGTACCTAAAGTAATTATTTTTTTATTTTTAATTTTAATAAACTTGAATATGACTCTGCTGGACGTAGGAGGTAAACTGCACTGTGTTCACTTGGTATTGTTTTAAATAAAATACCTTAATTCATTCAATTTCTGCTTGTCTTGGGATACTTGTAAAAAGATTTTGAAGAAAATCTTAGGGTACATTGTCCCACTCCTCCCATACAGCGGCCTTTAGCATTTCAAGGGTAGTAGGAGTTGAATCTCGAGACCGAACCTTTCTTTTGAAATAATCCCAAACGTGCTCGATTGGGTTGAGGTCAGGACTTCTTGCTGGCCAATCAATAGTGTGGATATTTTTGGTATTCAGGTCCTCAGAATCTTGCATTGTAAGGACGGGCATTATTATGCATGAGCAATGATTCAGAGCCTATGAATGACATAGAAGGTACTATAAGATGTTCATCATTGCTACATACCTCAAAGCATTCAAAGCCCCTCCTTGGATTGGCACTAACTCTGTACGTACCTCCCAAGATAGGCTGCCCTAGAACATGATAGAACCACCCCTAATGACTCAGTTTCTAACGTGCAGCACTGACTATACCGTTCTCCAGGCCTCCAAACACTATGGCCATCTGGTCTGTTAAGGATCACTCTTGTCTCATCATTGAATAAAACTTTTTACCATTCCTCCACAGTCCAAGATTGGTGTTCCCTTACAAATCTCAATCTCTTTATACGGTGTTCTGAGGTGAATAGTGACTCTCTCAGTCTTCTAATGACTGTGACTACAAGATTGATATCCCTCAAACAACAGAGGTCAAGTTTTTAATGGAAGAAACTGTAGAATTATGCTTCCGAAGTGTGTGCATTTTAATGAAATGGTCATCTATGGGATGAGTAATCCTGGGACGCCCTGACATTGGTCGCCTTGAATGACTACCAGTATCCTATACCTTTTCATGGTCCTTGAAACAAAAGAATAGTGAATCCCTAGGTTCCTAGGGATGTAACGCAATGATTTGCCTTCTTCAGAGAGTGCAATGATTCTGACTGAATCATCGTGGCTTAAATGATTCATTGTGAATAAAATTCTAAAGTGAAATGAGAGAACAGACTTGAGCCAAATGAAAGATAAACATGGACTCAAGGAAATTTGAAATGAATAAACCAAAATTCCATCGTTTGTTGGTAAACAATGATGTTTCTAATCCCTAATGTCTCTCATTTAATAAATAATATTACTATAAATATGAACAAAGTATATATTAAGGTCAAAACCAAGAAAATCTCGAGAATTATGGGTGTTGCAATACTTTTGCTGGGGATTGTATTTAGAAATGACAAAGTTTTATTATAATTTTCAGAATAACTTAAACTTCATCATATTCCTATTTTTTCAAGTTTAATATTTCATTTTTGTTGAAATGTTAGCCAGGAATTTTCTGAAATTCCTATAGATGATCTTTTGAATAAGGCCCTAATTTCAATTACCTAACTTAGTTTACCTAAATTATTATAAAGTATAATGAAAAATTCAAACTATGTTAAAACTACTCCATTAAAAAGTTGATCTCAGACAGTGCAATTTACCTCCGAGGTCCAGGATTATACTGTCTGTTATTTTTAAAATCATGTATTAATAAATGTAAATTTCTTTTACTTTCACTTACCTATAGATGTAATATGTTGTAAGTAAGGGAAAGTATTGCAATCATGAAAATTTTTGAATCTGGATTTTGAACGGAAATACAATTTTTGAGGTTCCTTGAGTCTAAATCAGCAAGTCCCAAAAAATAGTGTGTGTGTGTGTTTTAACAGCCTACCTCTAAAACAAAAAGTTGTATGAAACTCGTATTACATATTTAAGATATGTATATACCCAGGATGTTACAACAACTTTTCCATGAGAATCTGATAACCGGAAGTGTTATTTTATATCATGTTTACGATTTTATCAAAAACAGCTCTAACGATTTTGATTAAACTCGGTCGATCATTGTACAGTTGTGCAATTAAATGGTATTTAATATCTTTTAGATCTTATCTTAACTGTTAACTTTAAAATTTCTTCCTCTAAAATATCTTTAATTTGGTTTATTTTAAATAATTAACTCTCTCATGCTTAACAGTAGTAATAAAAGGCTCAATATAAACTATTAAAGAAGTTGATAATTGGCCAAAGGAGAAAAAATGAAAAATGTCTTTTTAGCTAATAGTACAATTCATAATCATTCAGAGGTTAAATATACCAATGTACTTTCAAATCTAACATGTACAGCTAAGAGAATGGAATTATGTAGTTTACAAAAACCAACATTTGAGACACGATTTAGTAAAATAATTCTTGAAGGAATTAACTCTTCCTTAGACTGTTCTACATATCATGGGTGATAAATATTCAGGACGCAGTCTTTTTTTTAAATTTGTATTTTTGCCAATGTTTCAACCCAAACATGTGGGTCATCTTCAGGGCTGAAAATGTTTTTTTAAAATTACAATCAGAGATATAATAGTATACGACCGCTAATTATAAATAATAAACTATAGTGATTGATGGTACATGAATCTTAACTAATATTGCGATACACATATTAAAATTAAATATGTAAATAGTTATACAAACTAAAAATTAAAAAAAAAAAATGTATATAATCCGTTAGAGAAAATATTACAAATTTGTATAAATGGATTATATACATTATTTTTTTTTTATTTTTAGTTTGTATAACTGTTTACATATTTAATTTTAATACGTGTATTGCAATATTAGTTAAGATTCATGTACCATCAATCACTATAGTTTATTATTTATAATTAGCGGTTGTATACTATTATATCTCTGATTTTATTTTTAAAAACATTTTCATCCCTGAACATGACCCACATGTTTGGGTTGTAACGTTGGCAAAAATAAAAATTTTAAAAAAGACTGCGTCCTGACTATTTATCACCCATTACATATAATTATAAACAGATTGAGTTATGAGGTTTTTATTTCCTATTATTGACATAATAAATAGGGTTTGTATTATTTTAATGAGTTGTTACAGGTTAGCTGTAAGGTTTAAGTCTTAGCTCTGTTAAAAATGCACTTCTTAAACTTTGTAATAGTCCAATTTTGCCAGAAAATAATTTCTATTTGAAGAAGAGAGGTAAATGAAAATTGTGTGATGCGCACACCTGATTTTTTGTTTGGTGTAATGCAAGAATCACTAATGTTATTATTATCCATCTACACTAGAATATATGACAGCTGTCATTTATTTTTTGTTACCTATGACACTGGAATAGCTCAGCTACTCTTATTCTATCTAAACGATGTAACTAACAATCATGTCTAGTGGCTAGCCTAAAACATGCCAGTTATTTCTATGGTTTAAGTCAGAAGATAGCTTTTTAGGATGCTGTAATGCTGCATGATATTTGTCAGTCTCTAAAACTCGCTCTCTCAGAGATAGTACTGCAGACCATATTTTTTTTCATTCTCCTCAAGGAATTAGAGAGAATAGACTATGGTTGGCATTGATCCATAAGCAGAATCAATCCGTTTCTTTATTGTCTTAGGTGGACCAGTATCCATTCCATTACTATTATAGTATATTTCCTTTTACTATTAGTATAGTATATAGTATATTTCTGTTTTCTAAGAATTAAATTCTATTTCGAACTTTATTTCATGAGAGATGACTTTCTTGATTGGACTTATTATTATGCCATCACAGCTGAGTTATAGGTTGTGAGAATAGCTTGTGTTATTGAAGCTACCATTCTTAATTTACTTTTCTTACACTATCCTCCTACAAGGTTGGCGTTCTGCCTCTTCTTTTATTAGAATAATATGCTGTTGGAGGTAGATGGTTGAATAAAATCTTTTAAACTTCTGTAATACATTGTTAAAAAAATGGATTTATTCTCTTTTTGAAAGTATAGAGCATTTATAACAAGTAATAAAATGATGTCTTAATTATTTTTTTTATTATAATAATGACATTATTATTATATAAAATTGTTTTTATGTGGATCAGAGCAAGCTTCGCTAGTTATTTCGTTGACTAATTCTCGTTCGAATTCCTGTCAAGGAACAATATGTTAATATTGTTGAATAAGGTGACAGAAATCCTAATAGTGTTTCTTTCTGTTGAAAATTGACATTTTCTAAATTATTTTTCTGCAGGATTTGAGGCAGAAAACCTTTGCTACTTGTGAAGGTCATCTAGAACTTCGAATTTAAGCCATAGTCAAATTTCCATCCAACTCCCCTCCACCCAAAAAAAAAATGGCATTTTTCTATTTTGTTGATAGGCACCTTCTATATTGATTACAAATATAATACTATAATTAATTAATTATTGCTTGTTCATCTTTAGCATTAATGTATTTATTTTATTTTGCAGTTTATAAGGATATTAGAGTTCGACAGAGAGAATCTTAAAATAAAAGCTCAAGGTTTTGGAGAGACATTCATGATCGGTAAGCACCCTCAAGGAGCTGAAGTTAAGGCTATTACTTATTCAGCAATGCAAATTCATGAAAAGGAAGAGCATAGTGATGTCTTTGTTATTGTTGATATTTAATATATACTGTTGATTATATAAATTAAGTTTATTCTTTACTACCTCATTTTGTTTCCTATTTACATCTACTACTTTAAAACTTTTTTTTTTTCATATGCATTATGTATTTCTGTAATGTATTGTTTTTCCTTCTAAGTTTCCTTTATACTTTCGTTTCAGTACTTTTTATTTTATTTTGAAAGTTTTTTTTATTCTGTATTATATAGTGAAGAATGTTCATTACTGTTAAATTTATGTCGTCTCTTTTTGTTTGCAATCTTCAAGATAGAAGAAACAATGTGATAAAACTATGTGTAAAAGAGAGTGTTAAATAAAACTGTAGTTTTGTTCTGTTCATAAGGTTTAGTTGTCTTCTTATATTCTCATTTGGCTATGAACAGCCCATGAAGAAATGTTGGTATTCTATATGCAAAATTTCACCTATCAAATGATAGTTTTATTACTGAAAATGATTTTCTGATTCAATATGATCACAATATATTGATGTCAAACCTCTGATGAAGTTACTTCCATCAATCTATAAGCAGAATGTATTCAGGAGTCGTTTACAGAAGAAACTTCCCTTAAATTTAAACATTTTTCCCTCAAGATTTATTTATTTTGCTCAGTATTATTTGTAAGAATATTTATGACTGTAATAACATATTTACTTAAAAATTTTTTTGTTAAAAATTACTAAATAATGAGGATATTGCATCTATTTGGCCGAGATCCATGTTAACTTGAATATTTATTTTTTATCTTGTAAAATATTTTGGAGCTTCTTGGCTAATGAATGTTTAAAATCTTAAAAAGTGAATATTGCTAGCACATTACATGAACAAAAAGAACTAGGTTTAGCTTTGCTTTAAAAATGATATATATATATATATATATATATGTATACATATACATATTTTTTTTTTCCATTCAGTCTATTAATCCAACATAGTAAAAAACTATTAAGAAGGATCACTAGGTTCATATTGTATTTATTTACTTTAAACAGCAGGCTATTCCATCACTGACTCGAATTAATTCTTTGGTTTCGATTGGACAGGAGAAGGCTTGGATAATTGAACAAATTTCCCGTATTAATGTAAAAATGTACGAGATTAAACAATTCTTTATTTTGTTTTCTACATTTGTTACTAGTATGTACATTCATATAAATTTCTTTAAACAGTCCTCATACCGTGATATTTAAGTTGTATAATATATCAACATTTGAGGCTAATTAAGACAATTAATCATAGTTGTACAATTACTGCACAAATCAGCAATTCTATACATTGTTTAAAAGTTCCATTTGGTTTAATATATATAAAACTAAATTTTTCTATTTACTCTACATATACAAAATTATTGGGCTATATACTCTGATATTTTTATTAACCTAAATTATAATTTCGAAAATCCTATAAAAAAAAAGAAAGTAAGCAGAAGTACAAAACCAGCTTGATCCCAGCTATACATATTGGAAACGATACATCATAGTTGTCCTTCCCCTAAGTCATATGTACAGAAACTATTTACATATTCTTTTGGAATATCTTCCAATTCTTTTTATTATAATTTATATAAAATAAATAAGTCATATTCTTTAATTATACATTATACGAATAATAATTACAATAATGAAATTTTAAAAAAATAATAGAAAAACTGGCTCTTTGGGTGATCCAGTCCTATTTTACATTTTAATTTAATATTTTTTCCAGTAGTCTTAAATCATTCCTTTTGGTGAAAATAAAATTATTGAAATTAAATCTTCTTTTTTTGGCTTTAAGATTTTTTTTTATAACATTATCAAACATATCCCAATTTAAATGGACTCTTTCGTCATAGTGTGTTTGATAAACCATTTTCTATATTGATACCATGATTTCATTATACTTTTGTCTATTCTTTTTGTGTAGTACGTATTGAAATTTGTGATTTAGTGCATTATTTCTCAAAAAAATAATAGAAAAAGCCCATTTCACAATCCGAGCTTAACCTTAAATATTTAATAATTTTGTATGCTAATGTTGTACATGGAATGGTTGGGCTTGAAGGGTTCATACTGTGGATGCTTCCCGTGTGAAATCAGTCTGCAAAAAAGTAACTACATTAAAATTGAAGATTTCTTTAGCCTACTTTAAAATTAACAAATTATAAAAAAAGAAATATTTTTAAATCCTCAGCCCTTTTTCCGATCAATCTTAATATTTTTAGATCAAGTATCAATGGAATAAAAGTTCTGATTTAAACATTCCCAGTGATTATTCCGAAATTATAATTTATATTTATTCATTATTTTAAATTTTAATAACTAGTGATTTTCAAAAATAGTTAAATTTTATCTATTTAACTGCACAAATTACAACTTAAAAAAATTGATATTTATAGTTTGTATATATATATTTCTATGGATGAATCACAAATAGTCTTCTAGGGATGATGAGGTTCTTGAAAAAAAATTGGGTATGTTTAAAAACAAAGAAAATTCATTCTATTACCACTTTAATTTATTTGTAAAATGAGAATAACATTACAAACAATAAAATGCAACTTTAAAAAATCAATATAATAATTTTCATTCACACTATTCTATCTTGAGAATGAATATGCAATAGTTCTAATTTTCTATAAATTAATAACTATATGATAACAATTAAAATACTGAAGTCAACTAATGTGGAGTTACTTAAGACTAAGTTGTGATGTTCTTTACGAGAGAATTCTGAGGTATGACAGATCCGAATCAGCATTTCTATTTTGCTTCAATATTAAATAATTAAAAAGTTAATTAATAAATAAGTTACTTTCTCAATATGAAATATTCAACACGCCTATCGAATCTACCTCTCTGTGTTCTTATTATAATAATTACTTTTTTAAATATCAAACTTATTTTTAGTTCAGTCATACTTATACATAATGAAAACTCCCCAAATTACCCTGCCAAGTAAGTGTTTAGAAAAACAAGAAAGCATGAGAGCAGATTAAGTCTGTTTTAAACAAGACGGAAAACAATTAAAACATATCAGTAGTGCTTGTAGCAGCTCATTCGATTATTGTCTTGTCCTTTCAAATCATCTACCACAAATGCTCTGTTATTTTACTAATCAAAATACCCATAATATATTGCACAAGTTCTTTACAAAAGCCTAAGTCTAAATCTTTCTCATTTTTGTCTGCCTTAACGTTTTTAATAGGACTATGAATCAGACTAACATCTTTGCTGGCAGTTCAGGTTAAGGTTGCCGAGACATTGATAGATTATTAACAGTTATATCAATACACCAATAATAAACGGAACGAAATTAAAGCTAACTCTATTGGTCCAATAATCCCCACTTTCTATAGTCTTTGGAACAATTAATTTTGGCTTTAAGCCACAAAATTAATCTGCTACTGATAACCTCATTTTAAGACATCAAATTAATTTTTAAAAAACTAAGTCTTAAAAACTTGTGATGCTTAATATAAAAAAGCCTTTGAGATTCATCACTTCCCAATTCTGAGCTGTTCTGAAGAGCACCCCCATTAAATGAGAGTTGCGTCTCCAAAAGTTTGACTAAATAATTCATATATCCATCCATTTAATAAGTAAAATTATATGCATATTATAGATAATATCCTTTAGAATATCATGATTCAGACCTGGACTAATGAAGTAATGATAGAATCTTGGAATAAATCAATATGTCCAATCCATAAAATGGGTGATCGACTAGTCTACGGTAATTATAGAGACATCTCCTTACTCTCTTGTGCATACAAGGTGTTGTCGAACATTCTCTTTTAACGATTACTCCCCTACGCAGAAAAGATCTTAGGCCTGTACCAGTGTGGTTTTCGGAAAGGACGATCTACCATTGACCAGATATTTTGATTGAAAAAGAACATGAATATAAGCCAATAAAAATGTCAGTATTCAGTTGACACAAAATTTCTATAATGTTCTATAACTTTGATTCTATGAGTCTTTCCTCTTAGAGAACTCATTTCGAAGTTATAGGGACATTTATAGTAATTTGTCTCAGTTTTAACCAAACTATAAAGACATTTTACTCGTTTGACACAAAGTTTAAGGTTCTTTAATTTATTAAAGAAAGGATTACTATTGAAAGGAGAATCCTCCATTGAAAAAATGTCGGAATTTATTTATCTCGGATCCCTCATAACTCTTGACAATGTTGTGAATTCTGAAATTAAGCAAAGAGTGCTATGTGCCAATCATTATTATGGAACAAAAATCCTATTGTATAAAACAATTACCTGACCAATACTCCTTTATGGCTCAGAAACATGGACTATCTTCAAAAGCAGAATTTAGTGGTCTTTGAGAGGAAGATTTTGCATAAAATCTTTGGAGCTGTGAAAGTTGACCAATTATGGAGATGTCGGACAAGCCAGGAGTTCAAAACCGATTTGTTTAAAGAACCAGACGTTCATTTCAAAATCGATAGATTGAGATGGGCTGGGCATGTCGCTCGAATAGCTGAGAATCACATTTCAAGAATGATCATGACCTCTGCTTCGGTAGAGTGAAGGTGTGGCTAGTGATGTCAGGTCCATGTTGAGAGTGAGGAGCTGGATGGTGGCTGCACAGGATAGGAACAATTGGTGGAGGCTGGTACAGGAGGCCAAGACTTGATATCGATTTGTCACGCCGACTGAATAGAATAGAATATATAATATACAAATATTACCCAGAAATTTATTCTGGAATTTATTTGAGTCAGGATACAATTGAATATAAACCATAATAAAACAAATTGTATCCTCAATGCAAATCTGAATTTGGAAACAAAACTTTTTTATATCTAGTTTTAATTGCTTAATTAACTTGTTCCATGTGACTTCTTGATATTTACTGTCAGCTATTGTGGGCACATTACTATTTGGTTAGAAACCGAAATAAATAATGCAAGACAAAAACATTTCTTTTTTCTCAGGGTCTAGGTTTGCACCTATATATATAACTATATACAATGATTAGCTAATGAATATTGAAACCATTAAGTTACTGATACAATTATCTGTTCCAACTATCAAACTGTCGGCAACCCTAGACCAGATCGATGAAAAAAAAAAAGTACTAATAAAAGATTTTTACTTTTATAATGCTGATATAAATACTTTAGTAGTCTAACAAGAATTAATATTGATACGTATCTAAAAACTAGACAATCTAATGAAATATATATTATTGTCATACAGTAGAGATTTATTACTTAATTTTTCACACCATAAATACTACATGGATGTTTAAAAAAAAAAATATAACTTATTGATTGATTATTAATGTATGTCTTAATAACCAGCAAGATGTATAAAAAGTTAAATGTCATTACTTAAGTTTATATAATCTTTGTTTAGAAAATAAAAAGACGTTTTAAAAGTAAAAAGTCATTTTAAATAGTTATTGGATAAACAAAATAGTGCCACTTACCCTTTAAAAAGAAATTATTTACACTAAGGTCGTAGCATGATTAACATTCATTGCTGGAATGCAATATTTATAATGAATTATTTTAAAATATAAAAAATATAACATTTATGTACAAAATGAAACAGTGTTTATACTGGCAGAACCGAATTACGACCCGTAAACTACCCAAGAGTTTTATGTTTTTTATTTTATAAAAAAAAGGAAAAACAAATTTTTAATCTATTTCTGTATGTTATAAAATTTCCTTTGAATAAAAAAGATCTCAAGAAAAATTTAAAAACCATCTTATATTGACTACACTCCATTTATCATTCAGCTGATTTGTCAACACTGTCTTAAATAATAATAGTTTATTTTCAAATTTATATCACAGGTACCTAATAATTAAATAATTATTTATAAAAATAATACATTATGAAGGTTTCCCCACACATTTATTAAAACTAAAAACATTTCAATAAAATTGTGAAACAGAAATCCAAAATTTGTTGTTATCAAATATCTTAACTTCTTCGTTATTATAATAGTTACTATATTTTATTTATTTAAAAAAAGTTTTAATACATGATAATAAAAAATTATTGGACTTCTTTATAAATAAAATCCACTATACAAGTATAAACATTCTAACTTGTTAAATGTCTAACATTTCAAATCAGACCTATGTCACCAACATTATGAATGAATGAATGAAGACTTTACTAAATAAAATCTGTCAATCATTAAAATGATAACCTAACGATAATCAAGAACAGAATTTTGGCAAGTAAGGTCTAATGTAAAATGTAAGTTTATGATCGAACAAGAAGCATATTGGCAAAATTGGAATTTGTAAATTTAAAGTGCCTTTTATCGTAAAATTTTAGAAGTGCAGGGCTGTAGGGATGATTTTCCTTCAAATGCAGGTAATGAACTTCTGGCTCGTTCGTAGTGTGTCCACAATCTTCACAGACATACATCTGCAGAAAAATGAATGAAGTTGAATAAGTATCGTTTTGTAATTAGTAGTTAAAAATAGTTTATTAATGCCATATTAGATAAATCAGACAGAATGGATTGAAAATCTATTCTATATGATCAAAAAATTTAAATATTAATAAACATAAAGCCAACATACATATATATTAATGTTTCTTAGAAAGTAACATTAACTATATATTAATATTACTTAAAATAAAAACACAATTCATACCTTTGTCCTGCGTTCTTTGTATGCATACTGGTGCTGAACTCCATGAACCTTTAAGCAGTGAGATTCAAGGGAACACCTTTGCGTAAATGATTTTTCACACAAATTACATTTATAAGGTCGGACACCTGTAAAAAATAAAATTGTTTATTGTTTATGAATAGACAAATAAGTAATCAATATTTTGATTTGATTGGTTATAAATAGAGACGGATTTTCGTGCAATAAAAATCCTAAAATACGTTAAATTGCATAATTAACACCTAAAAAAGTGCAAAATCATCAATATTGTTTAATTTATAACATTAATACTTTTTTTTTAGGTAACACTATTGACAGGATATGTTATTTCCAAAGATTTAGAATATGTTAGCTAGTAAAAAAAAAGATAGCTCATTAAAATATGCTATAGTTATTACCACAGCATATAATTAATTACCTGTATGAGTCCTTGTGTGCCTTTTCAGATCAAAAGTATCATTGAAACCTTTTCCACAAAATGTGCAAAGGTATCGTTTAACGTCAGAATGGCATTTCATATGTCTATTTAAAAGACGTTGGAGGCTAAATGTCTTTGAACACAAATGACATGTGAATCTGCCATTATGGCTTATTCCAGATTTATCATCTTTATCTTCTGGTGGCCTGGGAATCGTTGCATTCTCACTGTTGGCTAGAGGATTCTTTATTCCATGACCACCATTTACAAACTCCAAAGCTGTATCACCAGGTAATCCAAGCTAAAATGAAATTATAATAATGAAAACAAAATTGTTTTATTAATAATTTATTAACCACTAAGTGATAAAAAGAAAGATGGCTTACATTACTTACTTGGCTGCTGGGTGAAGACTGCATCATTATAGGCATTCCTGTTGGGCGTGCGGTCTTCACCGAAAAATCAAAATCATTGTTAGTTGTTTACAATTTTAAAATTTATAATTTTAAGCCATCTTTCCTTTTTGAAGTAGCAATAAATATACAGAAAAAACAAAACAGACTTCATAAGTGTCTCAGAGGTATCTAGATGAAACATCTTAGACAGATTAATTAGTAGAGATATTGAAGTAAAATTATAAAAAAATAAGTGATTTTTGTTTATTAAAAATCTATTATTGGTACTCTCAAAAATTAAAATAAAATTTTTTATTCTACCTAATTGAGGTTTTTTTTTCCCTTAAAACCAGGCCTAATCACTGAATTAAAAAGTTTTGAAAAAAAAAAAAATGAAGTCTAGCTTAAAATTTCTTGAATTCATTACTACTTCCAAAGGAGATGAACAAATAGCTACTTACTCTGTGCTGGAGAACTCCAACTCGGACTTGGAGGGATGGGATGGATGTGATATCTGTTGGAGGTTGAGGCGGAGGAGAAAGTGAACCAGTTCCATCCAAAGAGCAACTCGTAGGCGAAGGTAATGACATGGAGGTGCTTGAATCAAGCTCTAGAGAAGAAAGGCCAGGAGACAGAAGAGAACCCTGAGCAGAATTAGTCTGGAATAAAAGAATTAAAATAAATTAATACAATGTACTAGGAAATATAGACAGTATATGTAATAGCTATTGGATATATTCTTACATTTGGTTCCCACTTGGGTTGTTTGGTGGGCTGTTGTATTTGAACCTGCAATTGAAGGTTTTGTGGTCTCTCTGATTCTGTAATGTTGCTGCTATTGGCACCGATATCCCTGTCTTTGACATCCTGATAAGCTGGAGGCAATCTTGGATAACTTGGTCCCGATTCTTGAAACCCTACCCTATGTTCTGGAAACGGGTTCACTGATGGTTCAACTGGTGGAGGAATCGTCTCAGTTGAGGTTTGCTGAGAAAAAAAGAATGTTGTCAATTCATTTTAAAAATTGGTAGTGAAGTAGGAGATTTACATTTTTTGTAACCATATTCTACAATAAACTGATAAAGGCAAATAATTAAGTGAATAATTTGAGTAGCTGTATAAACATAAGCGATAAAACCAAAGCAAAAATAAAATTAAGTTACCTCTCTAAGAAATAGATCAGCAGCATCAGACAGACTTTCAAATAGAGCCGCAGTATGGTCAGCAGGACTTGAAAATGTAAGAGTGGCAGTGAACTGTAGAGGGTCTACCACTGCTCCAGTCACAGAGTCTACCATAAGGGCATCGTCATATTGCAAAAAGTTCTGATCCTTAACATATGCTGAGAGATCTTCTTCTTCTTTAACGCATATGCCATAGGTTGCACAGACGTTCTGAAGTAACGAATATTGTTTAGGAGGTCCATCACCACCGTTAGGAGGATAGTGGTTGGGAAGCTCCTGCCCTGTGTCGCAATCCATAGCAAGCGGGTCGTTGACCAGGTTCTGGTACTGAGAGCCGTATTGCTGGTATCCATGGAGTCCGCCTCCTTTCAAGCTCTCATAGAACGGTGGCAGTGATCCAGTAGGCGGCGAACTGGGGCCGTAATTTGACTTTCCTGGTCCCCCACCTCCTCCAGTGCCACCAACAGCACCACCGGAGTTACCGGAAGACATACCACCACCTCCACTCAGTGAATAGGAAGAGCCTCCACTAGAACCTCTGGACCCGCCTCCAGAACTACCGCTCTGCTGGCCACCACTGTGGCCTCCTCCTCCTCCACTTCGACTATGACCAGCAGCCGCCATCAGAATTTGACCGCTGCTACTGATCCTTCTGCCTGCTATCAATATCTGACCTCTCTTGAACGCTAAAGCAATTTTGTTCTTGCCTTCTTCAGATTCTTCTTTTTTGGGAACATGATAGTCAATAGGTGCATCCTGTTCCGGCTCTACAGCCAAACCTGGTTTGTTGGGAAGGCCTGGTGTCCGCTGAATGACAGAAACCTGTTGACACTTGGGTGGTTCGTCTGGTTTTTCAGTGCAAGCGTATTCTTTCTTTTCTGCAACAGTTAGTACGTGTCTGCTGCTTCCATATGGTGCGTCACCGCCAAGAATTGAGGAAATAAATCTTCTTGGTGGAGTCTTGGGGCGCTCTGGGTCCTTCTTTTGCTCTTCACTTCCTGGAGATTTTGGTGGATCTAATGCAGTATTAGGTTTTTCAGCATCCTCTTCCTTCAGAAGTGATTCTCCATCTAAAATAATAAAAAACGAAAAAGTTAAAAAAAAAATGGATTCTAACAATATTATTGCATTTAAAAACACAGATTTTTAAAAATAGTAAATGTTTGTCCTCTGCTTAACCATAGTCACATACACAGCAACAAAACAGTACATGTTCTTGTGGAGAAATCTTGTATTACTTATATTTAGAAGTTAGTGTTGTTAACGAAGGATAAATGATTTTATTTTACTTTTTCCTCTCCCTCCCTTCATTAATTAACCCTATGTTAAATGAGTAATTAAGGGCTAGGTTAGAGACAGGAAAGATCCTTGACCCCAGCCTTCTATATAATTGCCAGTTGTTTCCTGTAACGGGTGTACTACCGGTTTCCTGCCTGGGCCGCTGCCCGTTTTTTAAATGTCCAGGGTTTGTTTCTACTTCTGTAAAATACAATTCTACGATCAATTCATTCTGTAAATTTCGAAATTATTAACCATTTCATCATGGATATATTTGAGCATTAGATGAAAAGTATAAAAAAAAAAAAAAGAAAAGAAAAAACACTGTAAGAAGAAAATCTATAATTAATTTCAAATGACGAGACGTCTTGAGGATCGTGGTGGAGTTGGGAGCAATTTATTTCTTTGTCAGCTGTTTAAAGGTTATCGAGAAGATAGAATCGTTATCAAAAATCCTCATAGGTACTAAGCGCCAGTTGAGAGCCAGCTTATTTCTAAGAAGTCGAGTCAACTTTGACCAGGCGAAATCCGAATTAGATGTCGTCGAAATCATGTCAAACCGCAAAACCAAACATGAGCGATTTCCCTTTACCTCACCACAATAACCTTGCGAGGTAACGCAGTTTTTTCCGTTCCATTTCTAACACACATATAAGGACAATTCCTTCAATGTGGCAACACCAAGAGGTGAACAATAAATACCTAGAACAAAACACCTTGTAAATAATTTATTGTTGATGCATTAAAGGTGAACTTCCATCAAGGTTTTTGAATTGAGATTTCTTATTAAACCTTTCGTAATATTAGGAATGGATTATATGTTAATTGATTACCATCTAAGTGATTCTTTTTAAGAGTCATAATTTCTTTTCAAACGTCTTGAAACAAGTCAATCATTATTTAATCCAAGCAACATTATTCTAGAACCGAGCGTAACCAAGTAACTTTTTATGTAAAGGAAAAACCAATACATTAACAGATTGTCGCTGCGTCGTGAATACCCTTGACACCCTAAACTCCTTATAGCTTCATATCGGCCATTCAGCGGCAAACACGTATCGCCATTCAAAGTTGCGAGGACCCGTATTTTCTAGTCAGGAACAAAGTTCATAATGCAAATATCAAATGGGCAATAGTAACTGTCATAATAGATCCTCTTTGAATGGAGCCGCAAGAAATCTATTCATGGATTAGTTTAATCCTTTCGACCTTCCCGACCGAGTTTTACGATAATGTGGTCGGTACTTATCGCTCTTGCGGGGTATCCTTCGACGACATGCTGCCGTTCCTATCCCTGGGTTCCCGTTGAGCCGATAGCTAACCTACATTCGCGGCGAACAATAGGAGGTAATGAACTTTTCTAATAGATCTCCGCTTTTAATTAGGATTCGACGGAGAGGATTGACAATGGTTCAAGGAATTGTTTTGGCAACGACCCACAGCCCACAACAATCGCAGCTGACCCCCATTCCTCAAGAGTGAATGCCATGGAAGAAAGGAGGCCCTGGGGTACAGGTAAACACCTCGCGGCGATGTTGGTTCGGTATATAGTATCCACATCGTTAGGACAATGGAGAAGTAAATAAATTTAAATCCATGTCTTCAATCTTCAATAACGATGATTAGAAAATCTTACTAATAAAAATACTAAAGGAATCTTCAAGGGTTTTTGCGATATTTGTAGTCCAAATTTTATAGCTTTTTCAATTGTGTTAAGAAATATATCCTCTATTTTTCATTTTATGTTGATTGAAGATGCAATCCAATCCAGAATTTTTGGATATTTTTTTTAGCAAATATCTTAAGTTTTTAGAACATCAATGCAACTTCTTTCTTGTTCTTCATTGAGCATTAAAACGATTCAGGTCATGGATTAATAGAATAAGAAAACATATTTGCGATTGGTTCATATTTATTAACAATCAAAATGTGTTTTCTTTTTAAACTATAACGCAAATATTTCAGCCAATAGCGGATCCAGCATTCAATTTTGGGAGAGGTTTCAGCCCGAAACATTTTATTTTACACACACATACACATGTATATATATATATATATATATATATAATAATTTTGAAAAAAAAGAAGACAGAAATGAACTACCTATATGATATGGTGTTTAAGCGATTCTTGAAGTCCTATTAAATGTAATTATAATACTTTATAAGTAATTATAATACTTTAAGAGATAGTTTTTAATTTTTTTTTTCTGTAAAACATGGTTGTATTTTACCGTTTTTTGGAGAGGGGGACCTTCAGCCCCAAAGCCTCTCTCTTCCTTCCCTCCCCCAAGTAGACCCGCCTGTGATTTCAGCTACTAATTGTAAGCACGAATAAAAAAATAAAAAAATCTATTCCTAAGTTATTGTTTTCGGAAGGCCTTCAATAACTAGTCAGACATTACTTCATATAGCTTCTTTCTTTTTAATTTAAAGTAATTACCGTATATAAACATATATATATATATATATATATATATATATATATATATATATATATATATATATATATACTAAAAAATCAAGCCCACCCTAAATTTAAACCTGAAACTGGTACGCGATACTGGTACTCCGAAAAGTTAACTGTGACCTAATGGAATAAAATAATATAGACTGTGACAAACAAAGAAGAAAATAATGGAAGTTTTATTGCTTTGATTCCTAAAGCGTGTTTCTTAAATTAGGACTATTGGTTGTTCAGAAAATCGTTAATATTTATATTAATATTACGATTATAACAATTCCTCAAGAGTAGTTTCATCGCCTATCAAAATTGGCATTTCGTTGGACCAATATCTATTAAAATCCGATTTGCATCGAAGATAGGCAGCAATGTGAAGTAATGTCGATTCTTGCTTAACTTGTGTCACTAGGCTGTCACGAGAGTCCTTAGCCCAATCACAAATAGAGTCATCCTCGTTTCGTCACGGCACCTCTTCATCACACGTGACGGCGGTGTACAAATCAACTTATGCTAATCAATTATCCGAGAAACCTCTCGGGTATGTCCGTGAACCCTGCGGAGTTAATGTTTGTACAGGGCTTTAAGAGGTGTTAAATGGGTTTGAGGAACGATGAGATGGTTAGTTATTCAAATATTAAGCAAAGACATGTGTAGTACAACGAAGGTTATATTTAATACATAAAAAGCATTCCAAAACCAATATCCTTTGCTTTGTGAGTAAAGATTAGCTTAGCTTGGATATTAATAGATCTAAATTAAAAGAAAAAAGTGACAAAAGTTATCGTTTGTTGAAAATAAAGGCAGTAGTGAAAAGTATTTTCCCTATGACCCTCTGGTGGTGTCAGTTCCAGTATCACAAAAAAGAAATAAAACTGTCAAGAACAGAAAGAAAGTTACGTGATGGTGCGTTAACCTAAATAGCAGCAATCGAACCAATGCCTTCTGGAAGTGGGACTGCTTGTTTGACTCGCGCGAAATTTACGGTGTCATAAATTTTGCTATTTTCAAGGAAGATGTTAGTCAGGTACGAAGTTCCCTCTGGCTGTCGCACAATTTTCACTGCCATAAATTCAGCAAATGGTACTCGCTAAAATTACTAAAAGCTAAATAATATATTATCAGTTATGCTATTAATATTTTTAAAAATATCAATCAACATGCATAACTACTAATGTTAATTTCTAATCAACAGTAACTGGTACTTTATTAAAGTAACTAATTTTTATTTAATTTGATTTATACTTTTTTTTCGGTTCATAATGTAAAAACTCCAGTGTCGATATTATAATAATGCTTTAACTAATCAACTTGATGATAGGATACAGATAAATTAATATATTAATTATCTTTTTAGATTTAATAACTTTTCTAGATAAATAACTCGTCAATAATATTATTTGTTATTAAAGGGCGAAAATCTATCAATAGATACCGCATGTTGAATCAGTTTTAATGAGAAAAAATAGACAACAGATAACGAAGATAAAATAAATAGTGAAGAAAGACAAACTGTTAAGGAAAACAATTATTAAATTGTAAGATGGGTAAAATTTCGAATTCAACGAAATCATTTGGTATGTTACTGCTCATATTTTTTTTATTGTTTATTTGGTACACCATGTCTTCCTTCATACTTCACCACAACCAAGATTCCGCTAGAAATTATTATAAATGAATCCAGAAAAAGCAGGATCAAACTTGGGCGTAACAACATAAAATATCTACACTTTATGGTGAATTATGTACTTAATCATTTTAAAAGTAATTTATATTCGTTACAAAACGAAAAACAAATCATCTAAATCGGAACATGAAAATAATATATATATATATTCTATTATATATATATATATATATTCATGTTTTGATTTAAATGATTTGTTTTTCGTTTTGTAACGAATATAAATTACTATATATATACATATATATATATATATATATATATATATATATATATATATATATATATATATATATATATTCGCCCTCAAAATGCGTTACATTTACTTATTTCCAAGTTATATTAGTTTTGGTGGCCAATGTACTATACAAATTATTTGCTCGGCCCAACTGATATGTAAAATTAGCCTATATTTAAACAATTCTAAAACAAAAAGTTTTTATGTAACTCTTGGCATTTAAGTTATACAGCTAAATAAAATAACATAAGAGTAATACAATACCGGGGTGCATAAAATAAAGGAATTTAATTCGAACTTAGGAAGAAGATACTTTGATTTATAGCTGATATTTTCAAAACTAAATACAGAATATAATAACTTCTTTAAGAAAATAATATTTAAAAATAACGGTTTGATGGTTAAAAATCTGTTTGTGATATTACATATTATACTGAGTATAAGTAGTAACTTGATTGAACCAATGTTGACAATAAAAAATTTAAATAATACAACAGATATGTGTAATTAATTATTTATAATGGTAAATTTGATTAAATTATGAAAAATATACACTGATATCCAAGATTAAATAGAGCTAAGGAATATTTCATGAATGATTATATATTATATAATTATAAATTATATACCTGTGGATTGAGGTTCAGTACTTGTTTGTACGCTACGCAGGTACCAAAAGGATTGAATGGCAACCATTAATTTGGTACTAAATCCACCACACGACTCAATACCAACAGCTAAACTCTTCGACTAACCAAGAATAATTTCTCCAATTTCCCCCCTCTGTCTATAATTAGTTGGACATTCACTCGGTTTGAAATATTTCCCTTAACATGTAGAGAGCGACTAAGCTAAATTTAATAGTTAACATTTTCTATTTATAAACATTATTAGCAGAAAATGGAGAAAATAAAATGGTTGAGAAAAAGCAACTAGTGATTCTCGAAAGAAAATAATATAACATAAAGCGACTATAATATATTGTACTAACTATGAAGCTTGATAAAAATGGAATCATTATTTTTATTTTAATACAAAGATTAACTAGAATTAAAAAAAAAATCATAAAATTATATATTTTATAAAGGGTTTATTTTTCTTGGTTCAAAATTGACCAAGAAAAATAGTGACGGTAGTTCCTAAAGTTTTAAGTAATTTAACCTATAATTTAGGATATTATTCATTTTAAAGAAAATAAAAAATACAGCAACAAAGATTTTCAAATTTGATTCAAAATAGCAAGGCGCGAATTTTTATGCTCTTCAGTATGAAGCAATTCATTTATCAGTCTGAAATAACAAGATTCTCCTTTTGATTTGATATAAATATGTTTATATAATTGTCGAATTCCGAATGATTTTAGGAATACATATTTTCAATTATTTCATATTGACACTTTTATAAAGTAAAAGCTATATTTTTTAAAGTACAGGTGGTCCCTTTCTAATACTGTAAAAATGACAATATAAATTTTTCAAGTCAAGTTAATGTAAAAAACATTTTTTCATTTACAAATATCTAATAAAGGTAAAAATTCTTTGATAATTCTAATAAATCTTTAATTAAATAACTTGGGAATAGGAATCAGGTAAATTAATTATTTTTCCATATGTGCAAATAAATCGCAAATATTATCATTTATTTTCAATTATTAATATCGTTACTACATGTTGAACCAGTTTTAATGAGAAATAATAGCCAACAGAAAAAGAAGATAAAATTAATGCGAACGTACCTAACCCAACTGCAGGCTCATATTTACCTGTCACCGATACAATACCCAACGAATTTTTCCATCTCGCAGTCTTGTACTTTTTATTTAAGAGCTGGTGTTATTAATGCCTTCTAAATAAAAGAATGAATATAAACTCAGGGCCATAACACATACAGGAGATAAATCTAAGCCAAGATAAAGATCAGAGAGTGCAATTAAACTATAATAAGCTGCCTATACTTAATGGAAGAAATATTCTTTACAGCCGCTTTGTTTTACGGTCGGAAGAATATTTACGACACCGTTCTCTTCTATTTCTTCCGATATGCCAAACCGAATTGTTTCTCAACCCACAAACCAACCCTCTTGGGGGAGGAGGAGGGACGATCATCAATGCTATATGGTAAAGTGGCGGACCAAAAGGAAGAACTCGAGGAGGCGCGTGAGGTTTCCATCATCGGACC